TTGTATGGAATACTGTTGCCATATCTAGGGTGGATTTTCTAATGGATACCCTTTTTTCTTTTAGACAAGGTGCAAAAATGCATTGTAAACATAGTTGGACCTGCTCTTGCAACTGACCTTTAACCATTATCACATCGTCATAATGTTGCTTCTCTTTCTCTTTTCTACAAATACTATAATGGGCACTGCTCTAAAGAGCTTGCATCTCTTATGCCATCTACTAAAATTCATTCTTGTGTTACTAGTCATTCAATTAGGTCTCATTCTTTTTCTGTGACTGTTCCTAAGTGCTCCAAAAACTCTTATCGTTTGTTTGATTATGTGATAATAATTAACTCTTTTTCGATTTGAGAGTGATCAATATAAAGTGAAATAATCACAAAATAGATTAATAAATAAAAGGTTAGATGAGAAAAACAACTTTTTAACAGTATTTAAAGTTTCATGCCATTTTTGGCACTCATCAGTCTTATATTTAAATCAAGAAAAAATGGTTTTTTACAGAGCAATGATAAATTAGTAAAAACACTATCTTTTATTTACTTTTATATATATATGTATATGTATATATATATATATATATATATATATATATATATATATATATATATATATATATATATATATATATATATATATATATATATATATATATATATATATATATATATACATATATGTATATATATATATATAAATATATATATATATATAAATATATATAAATATATATATATATATATATATATATATATATATATATATATATATATATATATATATATATATATTAATATATATTTTTTGTTAATTCACCTCCCCAAGGCCGAGAAGGCTTCTACAGACAAGGAGGCTACTTAATTCTGGTTATAACCCTCTCTTAACTATATAACTCCAAAACTCAAATCTTGATGAACAAGGCCGTTGCACAGAGAAGCAAGATGAGTGCGGTACTACCAGGAACATGGTGGGGATCGAATTCGGAACCTCTCGCTTATGAAGCGAGCACTCTACCACTACACCACTACCGCATATATGTGTTTTATCTCTATATATCTAACAGCTTTAAAAAATTTGTTTGACTAAACTCTCTCTCTCTCTCTCTCTCTCTCTCTCTCTATATATATATATATATATATATATATATATATATATATATATATATATATATATATATATATATATATATATATATATATATATATATATATACATATATATATATATATATATATATATATATATATATATATATATATATATATATATATATATATATATATATATATATATATATATATATATATATATATATATGTGTATATATGTATATGTATGTGTGTATGTATGTATCTATGTATGTGTGTAAAGAAGGACACCAGTGTCCTAAGATATGCCTTCAATCACAAAGTGTTGTAAACACACAGTTGGCATAAATTGTTATAATCAATAGATAATATAAGTGTAGGTTATTACAATATAATCAATATTTTGTGTCTTACATTTAAATTATTGTTATAAGTGTCAAAAATAAATTACTCCTATTAGCAAATTGTAAGAAAGTCACCTGTATCATGTGTGAAGTAAACTTTTTTCAAATTTTTCTACCAGAATATAATAATTAGTATCTAACATATACTATATAGGTAAATAATGAAAGCAAATTAACTAAAACTAAATAAAAACACTATTTATAAACGCACCATGTACTGCCCCTGCAACTTTCTGTTTTTTTATGACATCATCCGCATGCATCTAATTCTGCATTTATAAATATATATATATATATATATATTTATATATATATATATATATATATATATATATATATATATATATATATATATATATATATATATATATATATATGTATATATATATATATATATATATATATATATATATATATATATATATATATATATATATATATATATATATATATATATATATATATATATATATATATATATATATATATATATATATATATATATATATATATATATATATATATATATATATATATATATATATATATATATATATATAGAAAGCATATTAGAATTTATTTATTTTTTATAACTTTTTATTATAAGTCACCTATATCTATAGATATATAAGTCACCTATATTTATAGATATAGGTGACTTATATAATAAAGAACTATATAATAAAAAACTAAAAAAAAATAAAAAACTTATATAATAAAGATAACATCTCTGATGTCACACTGAAATAACCTGCTTCCAGGGGCTTTAGTGCATACATTGACTTTCTAATAGCCTCCTGCTGCAACGGATTGCCACTATATCACTGAGGGTTCGGCATGGTGCAGCAATCTTTTTTTTCATTAATCTCCTTTTTTTTTTTTCTTAGAGAAAATGCTGTTTGCTATTATATTGGGAAAAATAAGTAACATTTTGTTATCTATAAATTAAATTTCATGTTTAGATAAGCAGTTTGATGTCATACTGAAGTAGCCTGCTGCTGGGGGCTTCAGTATGAAATAAGATTATTAAAAATTAATAAAAAAGAACCAAAAAAAGTTGACTAATGTATATCTATATATGCTATAGTAGATGGGCTACTGTTCATAATTATTCGAATGAACTTCATTAAAAAAAGCTATTTTTTATTCAACTATTTTTTATGTTTATTTATGTACTAACAACCTTAAAAATTGAAAAGATTTAAAAGGGATCATAAAAGATCAAAAAATAAAACAGTGGATACTTAAGAGTTAAAAATGCAGTTAATTTAAAAGTATTTTGATTAAAATGCTTTAATAAAGATCATAAGGATAAAAATAAAGTGAGCAAAATTACTTAAAAAATGGACCATCGATGACTGTAAATGCGGACCCTGGTGTTGGAGTTTTTAATCTTTGGTTTCAAGGTAAGATTGTTTGCCTGGAAAAAAAAGTCGTTGAATTTATGATAAAGTAGTGTGTACAATTGACTGTAAAACATGGGAGATGTAGTGTTAAGGTGTGGGGCTGTTTTGATTAGAATGCCACAGATGAAAATAGAGGGAGTAATGACAAAAGCAAGTAAATTATAAATTAGTCTAGTTGGTCTTTATATTAGTTTGTTTTGTAAGCCTAAAGATAATTCAGGTAGATTTTTTTTCCAGTTTTTTTCCTAATAGTAAATAAAACTATGATATCATATATCAAAAAGTAGGACCATTTAAATAATTAAGGGCGGTAGTGTATATATATATATATATAAATATATATATATATAATATATATATATATATATATATATATATGTATGTATGTATGTATGTATGTATGTATGTATGTATGTATGTATGTATATAATATATGTACATTTATTTATTCATTGTACATCTATTTTATTTAGTTATTGTTTATGTATGTATGTATATATATATATATATATATATATATATATATATATATATATATATATATATACATATATATATATATATACATATATATAATATATATATATATATATATATATATATACATATATGTGTGTATATATATATTTATATCTATGTATATATATGTGTTTGTATATACATATATATATATATATATATATATATATATATATATATATATATATATATATATATATATATATATATATATATATATTTATATATATATATATATACAGGCCCAATGTTAGATATTCTTAAGGTGGGTGAAAAAATTATTTTGGCATTTTAAAGTAAATTTAAAGTTTTTAAATGTATTTTAATACAAATTTTTTTTTGAAAAAAAGGTAATTTATCTTAAAACTAGTACTTTTCAAAAACTTTAAAATTTCAATGATTGGTTAGCAGAATAAACAATACTTTTAAATGTCAATGATTGGTTAGCAGAAAAAGCAATACTTTTAAATATCAATGATTGGTTAGCAGAAAAAACAATACTTTTAAATGTCAATGATTGGTTAGCAGAAAAAGCAATACTTTTAAATATCAATGATTGGTTAGCAGAAAAAAGCACATGCATTATTTGTTCTTAATTAATTGAAATATTTTATAAATTATAAACTAATATACACTAAATAAATTAAGAAATATTAAAAAAAAAATTTTTTTGAGTTATGTGATAAGTGATATTATTAATAAGATAACTGATATTATTATAAACTAATATATAATTAGTCTTACATAAATCAAGTATATGAATTTTTAAGTAATTAATCTTATAAATCTATTTTAGTGTTTGTCATATTAGAATGATATTTTAGTGTTTGTCATATTAGAATGATATATTAGAATGATATAATGACTCAAAGTCCATCTTTATTATACAGTTTAGTTTTCATCATCTAGAATTAAAGAAGATCACAATATCTAGAAATATAGATGGAAAAAAAAATTAAACTATTTTCAAGACAAAATTAAATTTTAGTGAAAGCCATAAATTTCTTGTGGAAATGCGAGCTTGCCATCTCCGCTAAAGTCTGTGTGGATGTATATAAATGCATGTATATGTTACATTTTAAAAGTTTAACACAAAGTTCAAAATCAATGCTTTTTACAACTTAATATGAATTCAAGTCTTTGATATAAATAAAAACAAAAAAACAAAAAAAAAATTATATTATTTTATTATTTTATTTTTATTATTTTTTTATTATTTTAAATTAGTTATTTTTTACTTTAAGTTAGTTATTAAGTTATTAGTTATAATTAATAGTTTAAGTTTTCTATAAATACTTCTGTATTAATCATTGCTTTAACAAACATTATATTTGATACTTTTTATGTATGTTGTTATGTTTTTTAACTTTAGCATATCGTTTCTTTTTTAGCTGTGTTTTTTCTTGAGTTTTGTAAGCGAAAGGAGATAACTTTAGCATATCGTTTCTTTTTTAGCTGTGTTTTTTCTTGAGTTTTGGAAGCGAAAGGAGATAACTTTAGCATATCGTTTCTTTTTTAGCTGTGTTTTTTCTTGAGTTTTGGAAGCGAAAGGAGATAACTTTAGCATATCGTTTCTTTTTTAGCTGTGTTTTTTCTTGAGTTTTGGAAGCGAAAGGAGATAACTTTAGCATATCGTTGGGATTGCTTAGATTATGAATCTGAAGTAGAGCAACCCCGACCTACATATGCTGCTCTTGCGCCAACCGTAGAGCGAAATCCCATCACAGGGATTCCTGAACCACATTTCCCCTCTAAGCAACGTGTACCTCGAATCTACTCTGGAATCTTGATAGTTATAACAATGGTTGGTTGTTTTTCAAATTTATTTAAAATTTTTACTTTTTTATTGGTAATTTTATTAAATAGATCTTATTATTTATTATTATATTATTTTACTGTTATTTATTATATTACATACAATAGTTATTAATTTAATATTAATCATAAAATTGTTAATTCTTTTTCTTCTAAAAGATTTTTTTATTTAGGATCTACCTTATAAAGTCTACAAGAATTTCTAACAAAACTAATACTATATATACCTAATAAAATCTAGGAGCACATGAAAATATAGTAACATGCGAAACTAACATGCGAAAATTTACTAACACGTAAAAATATAGTTATACACTAAAATCTAGCAACACATTAAAATCTAGCAACACATTAACATCTAGCAACACATTAAAATCTAGCAACACATTAAAATCTAGCAACACATTAACATCTAGTAACATAAAAGTATAGCAACACACGAAAATATAGTAACGCACGAAAATATAGTAACACGCGAAAATATAGCAACACACAAAAATATAGTAACACACAAAAATATAGCAACACACAAAAATATAGTAACACACGAAAATATAGTAACACACAAAAATATAGCAACACACAAAAGTATAGTAACACAAAAATAAAGTAACACACTAGAATTTAGCAACACGCCAAACTCACGAAAATGTAGTAACATGAACATCTAGAAACAGATTTTTGTTACATTTTACAAGGTAGACTTTAGTTTTAGTTAATTAACTGTGTAATTTTCTGTTTATTAAACAGGTGTCATTAGTTTTGATATTTATGCTTGGCGTTATTGTTTACAAACTATTAGTGTACAGACCTTTAGCTCGCAATGAGTATACTGCAGCAAGAGCTTTGCAAATTGCAAATATAACAGGTGCTGTTTGCAATCTTATATGCATCATGATCTTATCAAGGGTAATTTTTTTTTTTTTTTTTATTAGAACAATTTTTTTTTATCAGCAATTAGGGAATCCATTACCAGCGTATAATTTGTCTACAGTTTACAGTTACAGTTTAGTAAACCAGTTTACAGTTTCAGTTTAGTAAACCAGTTTACAGTTACAGTTTAGTAAACCAGTTTACAATTACAGTTTAGGAAACCAGTTTACAGTTACAGTTTAGTAAACCAGTTTACATTTACAGTTTAGTAAACCAGTTAACATTTACAGTTTAGTAAACCAGTTTACAGTTACAGTTTAATAAACCAGTTTACAGTTACAGTTTAGTAAACCAGTTTACAGTTACAGTTTAGTAAACCAGTTTTATCAGGTGTAATTATCAAAATAGTATATTTTTTTTCCTGTTTCTTAACTAAAAGCTTGGAATTTTTGTCTTTTATAAGTAATATTTGATTTAAAATCAAATTTATTAAACTTCAAAAGAAACGAAATGATAAATATATTAATAAAGATATATTTAATTTAATAAATAACAAAAATGGTGAAGAATGAAAAGTTTTCTAAAATTATTTATACATCTTATACATTTTTTTCACTTATATAAATTATGTTTTTCACAGGTTTACGAAAAAGTTGCTTTAGCTCTAACCCATTGGGGTATGTTCTAATGATTGATCAAGTCAACATTTATTTTGAATATTTTAAATCATTTAAGATATTTTGTTATTTCTTAAAAAACAATAAGACTTTTTAAAATAATTAAAATCAACAATTTATTTTACTTTCTGTGATAATTTAAGAAATGCATCGCACACAAACAGAGTATGAAGACAATTTAACATTCAAAGTTTTTGTGTTCCAATTTGTCAACTTTTACGCGTCAATTTTTTACATTGCATTTATCAAAGGAAAGTGAGTCTTTTTTAACTTAGTTAAAAACATAAACTTTATTTTAGTTTATTTTACATATAAAATGTTGTTATTATTATTCAGCTTCATTAGTTTATATTACATCTCTGTGATATATATGTTTGTTTTACAACCAGTCTGTGATATGTATGTTTGTTTCACAACTAATTAAATGATTTGGTCAAGGTTAAGCCAATTGATTGACTAGGTTTACTTTAAACTAGTAGATATATTTTCTTGTGTAACAATCAATTTATTGACAGTTTTTACATATAACAAATTAAGATTGACTGTGTTTATCTTAAACAATAGATTGACTGGTTACCCTGGTAATTATACACAATTATTTGGTCTTCGTATGGAAGAGGTGAGCTACTATTGTTTTTAATTTTTATTAAATAATTTTTTTTTTTTTTTTTTATTAGTGTTAACTTAACAAGTTGTTTTTTTTAAGAATTAAATTATTTATAAATATTATACAAATATAAAAAATTTTATAAAATTTTCATTTAAATTTTTTATTAATTTTATAAAAAATACAATTTTTTATAAAGTTTGTATAAAAATTAACCAAAAATTTTCAGTTAGACTAAGTTGGCACTTGGCACTATATTTTTCAGAATTGAATTAATGCCATTTGTTTAATATCATTTGATTAGACTTCCTAAGTAATGCCAAGATACAAGATCAAACCAGAAGATCATCATCATGCTTTTGGGTTATTATATAACTCTTTTAAACATTGTTTCACACAATTGAATTTCTGTTTCTTGTCTTGTAACCATAATTCTTTTTAACTTATTAAATTGTTGGCTTGGGAACAATATTTTTTTTTCAATATCCTAAATTGAGAACTTTAGATTTGCATCAATCCACTAATCACTTTTTTAATCATATTGGCAAACCTCTTTCACACTTTTTTTTCAATCCATGACCTTTACTTAATAAGCTTTGAACTTTTTTGCTTGCAAATTAATTGGAACATCATAGTTTTCTCATTTTACTTACAATCTCATTTTACTTACAAACTCATTTTACTTACAATCAACTTTATTAAAACACTTTTATATTATTTGAAAAATAGATAAAATTGTTCAAAAACAATTGAAAAATTTTTAAAATTGATTGAGTCATTCTTGAAAAAAGTCTAATGTCATATATCATCAATAGATCATTATCATTCCCATGTCATCAATAGGTCGTTATCATTCCCATGTCATCAATTGGTCGTTATCATTCCCATATCATATATCATCAATAGATCATTGTCATTCCATGCAGTCTTTATTACTTTAAAATATGTTTTAAAATATACATATTCAGGGGTTTTTCTAGACCGTTTTCGACAGTGTCGACCATATTTGGGCACCTCCCAAATTAAAATTTGAGGACCTTTTTTTTTCTTTCGCTTGAACGAGGGGGTACTGCTGTATTTTTTACCTAGAATAGGCCCTGATAGTATTTCTCAAACAAAATTTTTTGTAAAAGAACACTTAACTAGATTTTGTTGAAAATTTAAAAGTTGAAAATCTAAAATTTAAAATTTAAAAAAACACTTAACTTGATTTAAAAGTTTAAAATCTAATATTAGCAAAATTTATTATAAATAAAGTGAGAAGAACTTTTTATTATAGTGTGGCCCTGGAGGTTGCTTGGTTGAACTTGCACAACAACTTGTTATTATTATGGTAGGCAAGCAAATGATTGGAAACGTTCAAGAAGTCATGATACCGTATGCTTTTACATTTTATTAATATTAAACAATATTCTTATTTAGTATTTGTACTAAGAACAATGTTGTAAATAAATAAAAATCAAGTTTTCAAAATACCTGTATTTTCAATAGACTTATAAAACAGAAATGGAAAAAAAGAAAGAGAGGAAAGAAAACAATTGAATTAAAACCAAGATGGGAAGATGATTATGAGCTTGTGGAGAATGAAGGGCTTTTTGCAGAATACTTAGAAATGGGTAGAAAAAATTTTTTTAATTGTTTTACTACTTTATTTTACTTATATTTTAGTGCATTGGAAGGCATGCATCATAGTCTAGATTATTAGATATAATAACTGCCCAGACCTAGAAAACAGGTCATATTAGGTCTGTTTCATGCTAACCTTTTCTTAAATTACTTTTTATATGGTCTCTTCATTTCAATAATTTTTAGTAAACATAGAAAATCATTGGTTTAAAAATTTTTGGCCATCTCAGTGTTTTTCCAAATTCAAAGTTTTTTTCAAAACTTAAACCTTATTAACTTCATCCTTATTAATTAAACCCCCTCTACGTTTATTTGGCAAGTAAAAAGAATTTTAATTAAAAGAAATCAAGGTTTAGATCAAGAGCTTTTACTGAAGTAATGAAATCAAAAACAAAAATATTTACTTGTATAAGTATATATTTATTTGTTAAAAAAAAATTTAAAGTTAAGATTTTTACACATTGATTTACAAATTAACAAAGCATAACATTGTCAATTTCGTTTACCTTTATCTTAAAATTTTTATGTTAGCCAATTAATCTGAAAACAGAGTAATTTAAAAAGCAGTAACCCTTAGTAAGGGTCTGTTCCAAACCTACTATTTACTATATATTTATTAGTATAATTCAATAGCTTTTAAGGAATGGTAGAAAAGATGCTTGTTGGTTTTCCTGACTAAACCCCACCCCCAAATATTAATTAAAGAATAAATATTTATTGAAATTATAAAATCTGTTTCGAAGAGCAAAAGTATTAATAATACTAGAGAAAAAAAAAAATTCAAATTAAGATATAAATTGTGTTTATAGTAAAATATTTTTTAGACTTTTAGTGAATGATTAAAAGCAGTAAGTTCCAGTAATAAAACTACAAGGAGGCTACTTTACTGTGGTTGCAACGCTCTCTTAACTCTATTACTATGAAGCACAAACCTTGATGAACAAGGCTGCGGCATGGAGAAACAAGTTGAGCCCAGTACTACCAGGGGCGTGGTAGGGATCCAATTCAGAAAGTCTCACTTATCACTTACAGTGGGCAAACAATAAATGGCACCAGCAAGTTGTTTTAAGTTGTTTTTTTTAACTTATTTACTAATATTTGCCAAAAACTGTAAAAAAAATTTCAAAAGGTTCAAAGATCTTCATATTAGTAGTACTAATATGAAAATTTGTACCTGATTTTACAAAAGGTTTGTTGTTATTAAAAAAAATTTAGTATTTTTTGGAAATTTTGTTGGAAAAAAGTAAAATTTTGGTAAATTTGCGTGTAAATTATAATTACATATGAAACAAATAAGATATTTGCATATGTAACACATTAAGCATATTTATAACACTAAAGATATTTATTAATTAAATAAAATTGATTAATTTATAGCAACATGCTAGTTGTTAAACAACATTGGACAATTTTTCAACAAAACTTAATTGTGAATTTGGAAAATGTAATTTGAATGGAACTACAACTGATAATGCAGTAAGAATTCAAAAAAGAAAAACATCTGCTGCCATTGATCAAACATTATACATGTCCAGCAAAACAGGTTTGAAGCTACTCAAAAGATTGCAAAGTTCAAAACTACAACAAAACCATGATTTTAGCTCAAACTACAACAAAACCATGATTTTAGCTCAAACTACAACAAAACCATGATTTTAGCTCAAACTATCCAAAGAAGAATCTGAGAGCAAGAATTTCGCAGTAGAGTATGTTGCAAAAAACCCTATTTGACTCTAAGACATTAAACGAAGGTTATTATTTGCAAAAGAGTATTTGGACATATTGAGTACTGGAAGAAAGTAATTTGGAGTGATCAATCCAAATTTCATCTAATCTCATTGGATGAGTAGCAAAAAGCCTGGGGCAAACAAGGTGAGGCATAAAAATTAAGTTGCATGAGAGAAACAGTTAAACGCAGTGGTGGAAATGTCAAGGTGTGGAGATCAATGGCTTGGTGAGGAACTGGCAAATTGACTTTTGTTCAAAATAAACAAAAAAAAACTTTTGAAAGCGATTTTTTATATAGACATTTTAAAGCAAAATTTAAAGCCCTCTGCACGTAAGTTTTGATTCGGAAATAGTTTTGTCTTTTAACAGAACAATGACCTGAAACATACTGCCATCACAACAAAGGAATATTTTTTGTAAGAATGGAATTAATGTGATGGAATGGCTGCCCAGTCTCGCGACATTAATCCCATTGAGCATTTGTGGTACAAATGCTCGATTAGAGAAAATAAATAGGAAACAAAATTTCTGATAAAATCCATGCCCCAGGATTTTTTACGTATATGATTTTTTTTCGCCCAAATTCAATAATTCTTTTTATTTGTGTCTTTTTTTTTTTTTGCAAGAAAATTTTTGAATCATATTATACAAATTTAAAAAGGTTTAAAAAAGAAATTAAAAAAAAATATATTATTGTGCTATTTATTTTTTGCCCACTACTTTTTTATAAGTAGAACAATAGGTCTTTTTAAATTTAAAAAAAATTTAAAAACCTAACTTAAGTTCAACTCTAAAGGAAATAAAAAATTTTGAAAAGCATTTTTAATTTCTTTATAAATTTATAAAAAATAAAAATGCTTTTAAACCTTTTATCTTCTTTATTATTATCATTAAATAAACAACAACAACAAAAAAAAGTCAATCTTCACTTTAATTATTTAATCAACTTAAATAATCTTTAACCTTAATAATTTTAATGTACTTACTAATGTATTTTAATGTACTTATTTACTAATATTTATAATATATATTTTATTTAGTGGAACAAATTTTTTAGATTTTATTGTATAAGATCTTAATAACCTAAAATTTTAATTCTATTTCAAAGAGAGTAAAAAAAAATTTCTTTATAAATTTATAAAAAATAAAAATGTTTATTTAACCTACTTGCATTTACAGAACAGAAAAACATATAATCAATAGTCAAGTTTTTATAATATTTATAGTTGTGAATCTTTAAAGCTTTAATCTATTTAATACTCAAAATATTATAATCTATTTAATTGACTTTAAATTACTAGCTGGATTTAATTAGTTTATAAGAATGTAAAGTTAGTTAAAACCATTGTCATAATATGATGATAATGTCAATGAATAAACATTCATTTATAACAAAGCGGAACAAAGTGTACATTCCAGCAAATCAGATTTAAAAAGCTATTCTTCCAATATATAATACATGCAAAATAATATATAATACATTTTAAAACATAACAACATATTAAACATTCAAAAATATTATTTTATGAATATAATTTTCTCACAACATGTAACGTTAGCGTGGTCGAGTGGAATCTGCTTCAGGCTTGAAAACTGAGGGCTCCAGGTTCGTCTCTCAATATTAATATCATTTTAATTTTTTTTGTTGGTGAACAAAGGCTGTTTTTTTTTTGTTGCTGCACACTTTTGTGCACCAACTAAATAAAGTTCCACACTTGGACCATATAAAGTGCAGAAAGTGCACTGCACATAGGCTTTTACAGCCATAACAGTCTGTTAACAGTCTGTAACTACTCCGTTAACGGAGTGTACACATCAATTAGGATTTAGACGTAATTGATTTTACAATCAACATGTAGATACATCAGCTGAGGGTTTTAGTTTGATTGAGGGTTTTAGTTTGATCTGATACTCTTTTAATTAAAGAAAAGTCTTCTCTAGATTTAAAACTAAGAAGAAAAAAATGTGCGTCACAAAATTGAGACTCCCTCCCCCTCATTACAAATTGTCACAAAATGGCCTACATCTCCACTCTCCCCCTCCCTAAAGCAAGATGTAGTTTGTGGACGACCCCAAAGCTTAAATTAATATCACATAGGCCTTAAATGTTATTGATGACTACAATTAGTCAACTAACTTATAGTTAACCCAACAAAATAATTAAAAGTTTCAGAAAAGTGTGTGCATAAGAGCTTTTTATAAACATTTGATAAACTCATCTGTTTGAGACAATTTGAACAAATTTTTAAACTGATTTTTCAAAAAAACTTAATTTACCTGCACTACTATCAACTAAATACAATCTACAATCACAAAAACATTGTTCCTGCATTGTTTTTAGCATGAAATATAACTTTTTACTAGGTTGTTTCTCACTTAAAATATATCTTTTTAGTTATTCAGTTTGGTTTTATAACTATCTTTGTGGCTGCATTCCCATTAGCGCCATTTTTTGCTCTTGCAAACAACATTTTTGAAATTCGTATTGATTCAAACAAGTTGATCTGTGAAACAAGACGACCAATAGCAGACAGAGCACAAGATTTAGGAATATGGTATGATATATTGGATGCTGTTGCTAAGATTGCTGTAATATCAAATGTATGTTAATTATTTTTATTTATTTTTTTTGCTGTTATTTTATTCAAAGTTTTTTTTAACTTTACTAATTAGACAGAATTGTTACAAGATTTGCGTAGTCAAAACTATCAACGCACTAAAATCTTTTTAATTAAATTTAAAAATAAACATAAATTTAAAAAAACTATAAAAATCAAGTTGTTGAACTCTAAATGTATTTCTTAATAAAAAATAAATTTTTTTAATAGTTTTTCAAAATTTCTCATTTGATATGTAAAATCTTTCAAGTCATCCTATAGCAAAATATAAATTTGCGTTTATGTTTTATTTGTTTCATTAAATTGCAGAGCATAAGCAAATTGCAATAGTATTTACAAAATTGCGCTTGTTTAAAAAACTATTGAAATAGGCAGAAGAAGTTGGACCTCAAGTCTACGTTAGACTTAAGATATAAGAATATTTTTTGAGGATAAGAAACAAAGAAATTGCGCGCCAAAAATCATTGTGTCTGAGGCCCCAAAAATCTTAGTTGTGGTGTGATTGTCTCTTTAACCACAATAAGTGTATTGCAAACTTTTGAAACATTTTTGTGTAAGGAATACTCAAACCTTTTTTTTATTTTTTTTATTTTAATAATCTCCTGCTTACTTGTTAGAAGAAAATATTTCATATAATGTTTATTAAAAAGTATTTATTAGTTCTTTTTCTATTATTTTTTTAAATATTTAATTTGTATTGCTATAAAGAAATCTTTAAAAACAGCATAAAAAAAAGTATTAAAAAAAATAATCTTAGTTTACTCTAAAAAAGAAGTGGGGGGATACTTTTTTCACTAAAGTATCCCCCATAACCCTTGCATATCCTTTGACCGCCTCATAGTTGTTAATAGTTCTCCTTTTAAACGGTACAAAAATTATAATAAAGTTCTATTGAAAAAAATGTGCAACATTTAATGGCTATAGTATTGTTGATGTGTGTTTTAATGATTTATTTTTTATTTTTTTGAAAATTATAGGCATTTCTTATTGCATTTACTTCAAACTTTTTACCAAAATTACTTTATCGATCATCAATATCACCAAATGGTTCTTTGGAAGGTTATTTAAATTATTCATTAGCAGTGTCACCACACAATACAACTTTACAACCTTGCAGGTAATAATATAGATGATAATGTTGCTGTTAAAACAGAATGTTTGTTGTTAAAACAGAATGTTGCTGTTAAAACAGAATTATATTGTCAGTGGTGAATCCATGATTTTGATCTGGGGAGGGAACTTATATTCAAAAAGTAGTGCCAAAGTTTATATAAAGATTTTTTTTAAAAAAAGTTGAAATTTTTTTCTTTGATTTTTCAAGTTTTTGGCTGATAAAATTTTTTGTGGGGGTTTTTTATCCTAGGTATCGTGATTTTCGTGACGAAGAAGGTCGGTTAACTGCATTTTACTGGCATTTGTTGGCCATGAAGTTGGGTTTTGTTATTGTGTTTGAAGTAAGTTAATGCCATTGCTGTCTATATGTTAAATTATCATCAGTTATTAAATGATTGGTCATGTTTCCTTTTTTTCGTTTTTTCTTCGTTTTATAAAGTATATTTTGTGAAGAAAAGATTCTGAGAATGATTCCTAAAATGATTTCTAGCATGATTATTTTCTTCCTCATAAAATTGTAAATTTTTATTTAAAAATAACACTAGCAAAATATAAAATATATCGCAAATATATAGAGCAAAAAATATATCGCATTGAAAACGTGTTTTATTTTCTGCCTCGTTTAATATCAAAGAAAAGTGAAGGATTATTTATGAACTTGTTTTTTTAAAAAAAAATAATTTTCAGAATCATTTAACGAATCGTTCTTAAAATGATTCTTGGAATTATTTTAAGAATCATTCTTTAAATCGTATTAAAAATCATTCAAGAATATTTTTTTTTTACTAAATTTTGTAGAAAAAAATTCCTTGTAAAGCAAAAAAAGGAGGTTTCATATCATCGACTGATTTTTAGATTTAAATTGTGAAATTAATTTTTTTGTTATTGCAGCATTTTGTGTTTGCGACCCACAAATTTATTGACTTCTTAGTTCCTGACATACCAGAAGAATTAGATATAGCTATTAAAAAAGAAGCTTATCAAGCTAAAAAAGCAATGTCGGACCATCCAAATTTAATCATCGCGAACTCGGAGGAGGAACTAAGCGAAAGAAACCTAAAAATTAGGCTGCAATGAAGTTCTTCGATTTTTTGTGAATTGTTTTTCTTTACTTTTTTTACGTTCTTTTGTTTTTTTAAAACTCTTTCTTTTATATTTTTTTGTATTTTAGTTTTTTTTATGGGCTTGTATAAAAGTTTAAATATTGCAAAACACTCCAAAATATTGTAAAACCTTCACATATTTTTTTTAAGCGGTTTATGTATACATATTTTTTTTAAAATTATTTTATTTTAATTGTAAATTAGGGAAATATTGTGAGTTATTTATTTTTAAAATAGTTTTTTATTTATACATATTTATGATTTAGCTTTCAATAATTCATTAGATGGAAAATGTAAAGATATTATATTATTATTTATTTTTATTCAATTATGTTAATCTGAACTGTCTAGATTCTATGGTTATATGACTCTTTCCTTCTTTCATCTACGGCGCTACGTGCATTATTTTTAAATAATATAGTTTATTTTATATTAGGATGTTGAACTTAGGTTTAAAAGTAATTGAAAAGTCATTTGTTTTATTTAATTTTTGAAAACGATCACCCACCATGACTAGCCATTCCAGAAGATTTTTTATAAATCAAATATAATTAATGTCATTGTATAGAGCTTGGCTTGACTTAAAAAATGAGGGGTCATTCAGCCTTTGAAGATAAGCGGATCAAAAGTTATTGAACTTTTTGTAGTGAAAAAAATGATGATTTTTTGACAAAAAGTATAGGGCTTAAAATATGGAAAATTTGTTGTGTTATGATACCGAAAATGAGAGTATTATTGACTTTTGAATAACTTTTGAACCGTTAATACATTTGACTTGAAATTTTTCACAATGATCCATCAACTATAAAAAAAGAAAATTCCAGTTTTTTAAAAAAAATCAGTCTGGATTGTCCAAAATCACCTATTTTACAGACTGAGAATTCTTACTAATTTATATATTTTTGGGGTCATACTGACTTTTTAATAAGTTTTTAATCGTGATTATATTTGACTTGAAGTTTATCACAGTGATCAAACAACTATAACAAAATAGGAAACCAAAATTTTTTTAAAGAAAATCTGTCGCGATTGTCCAGAATCACCTATCTTACAGCCTGAAGGTTTTCATTTTTTTAATTTTTATTTTTTATTTTATATTAATTTTTTATTTTATTTTTGGAGAATAAAATTTGGAGTCAAGTTATAATTATACCATGCAAATATGTTTAAAGGAATCATGGAATCCAAAAAATACATCATTTGAAAACTATTGCATAATTTACAGACCGACCAGTCAAATAATCGCATTAATTACAGATTGGTCAGTAAATTGCTGAAAATGGGCTTAACAAACAAATGAAACATATCAGCTTTAAATAGTTTGAAATTTTTTGATATTTGTGAACCGTTGTTACATTTGACTTAGTAAATCTAACCGTTGTTACATTTACTATTAAATCTATCGGAATTATCCAGAATCGTTTATTTTACAGACTGAAGGGTTTCTATTTATTTAATTGTGCTGTGAGGAAAAAAATTAGGGTTTAATATGCAAAGATGCATAAAGGAATCATGAAGTCCAAAAAAAAACAATTTGAAAAAATTGCATAATTTACAGACCTGTCAGTCAAATTTTAACGTAAGCTACAGGTGGGTCAGTAAATTACAAAAAAAAAAAGATGTACAAACCAATTGGGCATATCGACTTTAAAAAAATTTAATACTTTTAAACCGTTACTACTTTTGATTTTAAATAGTGATCCATTTTTTATTAAATCTGTTGGGATCACACAGAATCGTTTATTTTACAGACTGAAGTTTTTTACTTATTTAATTATGTAATGAAGAACAAAATTAGGGTTACCAAATGTGCAAATATGCATAAAGGAATCATGGAATCTAAAAAATATATCATTTTGAAATTATTGCACAATTTACAGACCGGTCAGTAAATTACTGCAAAAGGGTTGCACAAACCAATTGGGCAATTTGACTTTCAATATATTTAATAATTTCCAACTGTTATTATGTTTGACTTTAAATTTTCGACAGGGATACAAAACTATACGAAAATTAAATGCCATAATTTTTTTTTACATTTATTGGAATTATCTAGAATCGTTAATTTTACAGACTAAAGTGCTTTTACTTATTTACCTAGTCTTGGAGAATAAAATTTCAACTTATATTATAAAAACTCCATGCAAATATGCATGAAGGCTCGTAGAATCGAATTAATTCATCTTTTTAAAACTATTGCTTAATTTACAGACCGATAAGTAAATTACTGCGTATATTAGTATGGGCATTGAAATCTATCTGAAACATTCAGAATTACTTACTTAACAGACAGAAGATTCATAAAGAAAATTATAATTTAGATTTAAATGAAAATAACTTACAGCAATTGAACTTCATGAAATTTTTAGTACTTACATCAACAATAGCAAGTGTACAGCAGAAACTCTACCTAAAAGTTTAATAAAATTATTATTAAAAAAACACAGATACACAATAATTTTTAAAAGATATTTGTTAATTCGTTTTAAAAATTAAAAAAAAAATTATGTTAACAATTAAAACTAAGTAAATATAAAAAAGAAACTTATTCTTTGAGAATATTTATGTGAACTATTGACAACACCTAAGATAAAAACAACAACATTAAAACAAAAAATATTGCTATTATACAACTTATCTCTTACCTTTTAGTGAATGATTAGAAGTAGCAAGTTTCAGTAATGAAACAACCTAATAATCATTTTTAACGATAGACACCAGCGAGAAGGTAAGCCAAGTAGTCTATCAACACAATACATCACAACAATAAAATCACAATTACAAAACATACAGACCCTGTGGCACTAAACGCTGCAAATTCACAGTAGTGTCAATACTTAGCTAACAATGTTAACTTCTATCCTCAGCCCTTTATCATTTTTAACCAACATTAATGATCTTCTCGAAAAGCTCACAGGTGAAAAGCTACATTAATGATCATCCTAAAAAGCTCACAGGTGGCTCTATTTGTTGATAACATAAAAAACATATGAATCGTCTTGCATCATATGTTTTTTATATTGTATGTTATATTAGTCTATTTCTATATGTTATATCGTCTATGATTTGAATTATCTCGATTTGAAGCTGAGCTGTTAACTGTCGTTAGAGAGAGGTTTGAAATTATAATTACATAAATACGGTGAGGCACATTTTATTGCTCTGGATGATATGGTGTATCTGGAGATTTCTTTAAAAGGTCTTAGCAATCTTCGATTATTTAAAAAAGTAAATATTTGATCTCATTCACCTAAACATGCAAGGTACAAGTTAGTATTTGTAAAGGATTATTTCTTATTCACATCGTAAAAAAAAGATTATTTCTTATTCACATTCTTATTAAGCCTTAATTTAAGGATGAGAATAAGAAATAATTTATAAGTGTGAATAAGAAATAATCCTTAAGAAGGATTATCAAATGGTATAAAAATCTTATTCTTTCATCAATGATGGAAACAGCAAAAATTTTTATATTATTTTAAACAGTTATATATTATTTTCATGAAATAAACCGTTCTATTTAGCTACTATTTAAGTTTTTGATTAAGTAAAAAAAAAAAAAAAAAACATCATCTAATTTCTTAAAGCTTACGCAACAATTGATTTTTAATTTAGTAAACAAACGCAAAAACAAAAACAAAAAACTTCATAAAATACGCAAAAAAAAATGCATATAATGCATACATAATTTTTAAAAACAAAATTCCTAAGCATCAAATCTTCAAGAAAACATAATTAAATACTTCATTTAGAGAGAGGAAAGGCTATACTTGCATTTTGGACAGGGAACCTTTTAAAAACTTTTAACTTAGACGTTAAAAATACTCCACACATTCTATTCTTCACCGAAACTTGGTACAACAGAAAGAGTGACACGGTTATACCAGGCTATCAAATTCATTGAAGAAATAGAGACGGAAAAGGAGGGAGCGTGGCCATTTATATACAAAAAGAAATAACTTCATTAGAAACCAATTTTGCACAATTGAACTCAGACTCCATTGAACAAATGTGGCGCGTTATTAGGCTTGGCAACAACTCAATTCTCCTTGGAGGTATATATCAACCACATGACCTAAATAGCGAAACTCTCAAAAACTGTATAGCATCTATCAAAGCTTCGAAAGCTGCCACCCAAAAGTTAGAGTGTGATTTTATTCTGATTTATGAAGACTTTAATTTTAGCAACACATTTTATGAGTATTTTATGAGATTGGCGGCAGCGCGGCGACAACAGCGCGCGTGCTAAATGAACGACCAGGCGACATGAGATTTCAAGATTGCTTAAACGAGTGTTAACTCGCACAATTGATCACCTTCAAAACTATCGTAACAACAGATTTTCAGAGCCAAATAGTACTCTCGACCTAGTAATAACAGACAAGCCAACAAAAACGTGCAACAAAAACGCTACATCTGGAACAGAGCCGACTACGCTAAATTCTTGCTAAAATTAAGTTAAACTGATTGGAATAGCTTATTCGAAAACTTCTCAACTAACGAATGTTACAATCTATTCATAGAAGTGTACGACAGACTAATAACAAAACTCATTCCGTCAACTACCTTGCACTTCAAGAAAAAAAACGAACCAGGGATAACAGGCGAAGTTTTCCACTTTTTTTTCTTTTTTTGTATGTATTTAGGTGCTCCCAGAAGTCCTTACGGTCTTATCATAGAGCACCGCGGGAGAGCATTTAACAGAAAGTTCACGCCTCCCTCCGTACCAATGCCGCTTGTTGGGCTAGAGCTGGCGTCGAACCTCGGACCTTTGGGTTTTGAGCCAGAACTCTAACCACTGCGCCACGGCTGCAGCTTCCGCGGTGCACTCTGTGACAAGACCGTTAGGTCTTCTTGGGGCACCTAAATAACAACAAAAAAAAAGTTTTAAAAGCTATTAGAATAAAAAAAGAACTTTAGAATAAATATATCGCCTCTGGTTGCCATACACATAAGGCATGCTTTTAGAAAAATCTACCCACCTTTCTTGATCAAAAAAGGATGTAAGAAAGCTTAAATGTATTTAAATCAATATATTTCTGAAAAATTAAGACTGTAAAGACTACATATTAATAGGGAAAAACAAAAAAAAATTAAGTTTTACAGAAAATTCTGACTTTCTTTTTGATGCCTCCCATAAGTTTCTGGACAGAGTGATTTTTGTAAGTTTTAGCAGCGTAATCCCATTTTTTGTTCAAATCTGTAGCTGATTTTACTGTTTTTCCACTTAATTTCAATTTCTTTTTTACGATGGCCCAATTTTTTCAATAGGACGTAATTCGGGACAGTTAGGAGGTTTCATCTTTTTCGGAACCAACATCACTCCATTATCATCGTAAAGTTTTTGAGCATCTTTTGAGTAATATATTGTGGCTAAATCAGGCCAAAACAATACTGAAGTACTTCTATGAGCTTTATATAGTCGTTTTATACGAGAAAGACAACATTTCACGTATTCCGAAGATTTCATTGTGCCCAAACAAACATGAATTGGCGATTTTTTGCCGCAAGAGCAAAGTGCCTGCCAAATCATCAATTTTTTCGAAAATTTATCAGTCATTACATACTTGTATTTATCATTCACATTTCCTCTTATTTTAGAAGCATAGTAGCACTGACCAGGAATTTATTTAAAATCCATTTTAACATAATTTATTTAATTTAAAATCCATTTTTTCAACCGCTTCCTTGTTTTCTCTGAATAGTTTTTTGTTCTGTAAACCGTTTAAGAACATTTACAACTCTTCTTGATATTTTTACTGATTTCGCCAACTTTCTATTTGATAAAGTTGGATTTTTTAAGTGTTTGTTCACAATCAAAAATCTTTGTTTAGTTTGTTCGGTTGACATTTTGAAACTAAATAATATTATTTTCTGCCAAAATTTTCGATTATACAAACACTACCACACACAAAAAAATAATTTTAAAAAACGCCCGTTAACTAGCTTTACCACACCGCAAAAGGTGGGCAGATTTTTCCAATAGCATGCCTTAGAGAGCTTAGAAACAAGCACAAAGAAGCATGTAAAAATGTAACAAAAACTTTGAGATTAACCGTGTTAGATTATGAAGAGAACCGAACTAATTTATATATATATATAAAAAAAAAAAAAAAACTAAAAAAAACACTCTAATATTAAAAACAAAACCAACTCAAAATATGTATTCAACCTATAGGAACAACTGATGGAAAAATTTCAACAGATCTTCAAATTATTTGCACAACCCTGAACAATTACTTTCAATCGGTATTTTTAAACGAGCCAAACGGACCTGTGCCAGAATTAGAACCCCGAACTGACAACAAATGTATATTAGACAAGGATATCTTTTCAATCAACGATATCCATGCTCAACTCGCAAACCTAGACGAATTTAAATCTCTAGGTGTAGACAACGTTCATCCTCGTGTACTCAAACACTGCGCAGAAACTTTTGCATTGCCCCTAACGTTAATTTAAAAAAGTCCTTCTCAACCAGCACTGTACCAGACCTGTGGAGGAAATCCAACATCACGCACCTTTTCAAGAAAGGAAACAAACTAAAAGCATTGAATTTTAGACCGGTTTCTCTCGCATCCATGCCATGCAAAATACTACACTGTAACTTAAACGATTTAATAAGCACAGCACAACACGGATTTGTTCAAAGAAAAAGCTGTTTGATTAATCTCCTCGAAATTCGCGACTTCCTCACAGAAGCCACACACAAAAAATATCCAGTCGATGTGAACTACACTGATTTTGCAAAAGCTTTTGATAAAGTCCCATACAATCGTCTATTAAGCAAATTGAAAGCATATTACATCAAGAGAAAGCATTCATGTGGATAAATGCTTGGTTCAACAATAGACAAAAGCGTGTTGTCATTGTTACTCATTCAACTGCTGAAATATTCACATCAGATTGGAAAAAAGTCACAAGTCGCGACCCTTTAAGAAGCGTTCTAGGCCCATTCCTCTTCGTACTATTTATAAACGATCTGCCGGACAACATTACAAGCCAGTTTAAGCTCTACGCAGATGATAATAAAATAATGAACATCATAAAATCGAACGAAGATGTGCTAGCTTTACAATCAGACATTGATCATGCCATAAACTGGTCTCACAAATGGTTGATGTTCTTTAATGTGGAAAAATGAAAAACAATGCATGTCGGTCGAGGTAACAGAAAATCTAATCAAGTCTATTCAATGACAAACACAGAAGGCACTCGTCAATACCTAGAGGAAACAGAAACTGAACTGTGTTCTGATATCAAATGACCTAAAGTCCGTGCTCAAGTGGAGTCTGCAGTCTCAGTAGCCAATTACAAATTGGGCCTACTCAAAGAAGCATTCCGAAGCTGAAGCTTTCTTTTCCGGCGAACGCTTTACATCACATATGTGCGCCCACACCTGGAATTCGCTATTCAGGCATGGTCTTCTTACCTAAAATAAGATATCAATATACTTGAAAGAGTTCAGCGCAGAGTAACAAAAGTTTCCTCAATCAAACATCTCCCATATGAGTAACGTTTAAATATATTTAGATTGACAACACTGGAAGAAAGAAGAGCCAGAGGAGATCTTATTTAACAGTTTAAAATTAAGAATAAAATTGATGATGTTAATTTTTTTGTACCTCAAAGGTTCTCTAACAACACATATAGCAGGAGAAGTCATAATAAACAGCTGCACAGACAATTTGTTTGCGACTGCGAAGAGCAACATCACCATTTTACTAATCGTGTCACACCGTCCTGGAATATGCTACCACAGAAAGCAATTAACACTCACATCGTCAACTTGTTCAGAAGTTTCCTACAATAATGGAAAACTTGTCTTGTCGACAATTTGCCCTACAGATTATTTAGTATAGAGAAGCCTGGTGTTGCATCTCTTCGTCAATATAATTTATAATTAGTAATGAACTAGTTTACAGTATTATTAAATTTTGTAAAAACATAAATGATTCTTGATTGTAAATTAATTGATTCTAAATAAAATCAAATTCAAATTTATTTAAAATTTAAACGTAATTAAATATGTGTTGTGTGTAACTCTAAGGTGACAATGTCGTCTTAAAAAATGGCGACAATGTCATATTTAAGAAAGGTGAGCCAAGAACAAATATACTCTTTGGCATACCTAATGTGCATTGGGCAAACTGTATATTTTCTCTATGCTTACATTTAAGTAATCTATTTATCCATCTAATATTATTACATAAATCGCAGGTGTGTTAACCCGCCAGAAAACAATTTGAAATACAGTATTCGTTGTTGTGAAAAGGAAAAAAAATATAGTTAAGGATTTAACTCGTTTAAAATAAAAGTATGCTTCTAGCTTGATAAAAAATAAGCTTTTTTATTATCAATATAAAATAATATACAAATATTTCTGCTAAATTTTTAAAATTAAAAAAGCTTTTACTCCAGCAAATATATATTTGCTAAAATATTTACAAAAATTTTTGGAAGAGTTTTTCTATCTATTTGTATATAATACATAATATCAAATTTACAAAAAAAAAATGATGCATTAAAAGCTGTATGTAAATAATTTTTAAAATAAGATTTTAACAGTAAAAAAAACCCATAAAGATTTAAACAAACATTTACGATTTATTAAATTTTAAAAATATTTTAACAAATATTTATGGTGATGGATATAGTTCTCGAATTATAGCTTTATCGCCTTTTTTCTTGTCTAACCATTGTTCGCAGGGAAAAACAATATCTGTGTTATCTTTAGTGTTTGTAACTTCAACTTTATCTAACATCCAACCCGGTTTAAATCCTTTATTATCATGTTCAATGATTAATTTAGTTAGCTTTCCTAAGTCCAAACATTCAATTTTAAAATCGTCCATGTTGCCTGAATTAAAGAAATAGTAACAATACAAAATATAGATATAATAGAAACAATATAACGTAAAACTCCAAAATTCCGATGGATTTAACAAAATGTTTCATAACTCGCTTATTACAGGGTTCCCTAAGAAAAATAAAATCAAAATTCCGGGACTTTCCAGGATTAAATTCCTATTTTTCCAGGGTATTTGCCATTAAATTTCAGGACTTTTCCAGGATATTTCCCCCAAAGAATTAAGGACTTTTCACGATGAAAAAATTTGGAAAAATGAATTAACCCTATCAGCACATATTTTCATTAAAAAAAATATTAAATAATAACTTTATCATCATACACAACTTACTAAAATATTAAATAATAACTTTATCATCATACACAACTTACTAAAATTCAAATAAATATACATTTAAGCTCGGCATTTGGATTGGATTTATCAATACAGCCTATAATGGAAAGCTTCAATGAAGATTTTTTAAAAAGATGTTTCAGAAAAACTGCTAGAAACTCCCCAGCTTCATTTTCAAAGACAAGTACTCTGTAATCAGTAGAAGTTAGATTGGCTTCGTTGAGTTTTAGACAAGAAACAAATCCAATATCAATGTCTGCTGGAGGTTTTTGAATGTTCCCATCTTTTATGTCAAGTTGAAGCAGCTGTTAAAGTGTATCACATTTCTTTAAGATATCTTTGAAAATAAACTTAATAAGTCATTGATAATATCATCAAGAATAGTAGTCATAAATGGCACCATGGGTTTACCTGTTTGAAAACTTTTTAGAAAAGCGTTTAATTTATCAGATACCATTTCAATTCAAATACCATTCAAATTTCTATTTTGCTACTAAAATCGGATCATGTATCATAGCTTTTAGTCTCTGTCAACTTTTGTTATTGACATCAGGTAGTTTGCTTTTTTAGAGACTAATAACATATCGCGACCCGAGTGCTTATTTAATCTCCATTTAAAATGTTGGGAGAAAATATTAAGTGATCTTATAAAGGTAACAACTATATTTATGCAATAAATTTTAAATTTTAATAATAACTATTGAAAATATTATTTGCTATTAAATTTACTAATTATTTATAAGTAAAAAAGTTAAATAAATAAAAAAATAAAATATTTTATCTTTATTTTTAGTTATTAACTCCATTTTAAAATGTTAAAATTCTTTTAACATTTTAAAATGGAGTTGAAATAAATAAGCACTCAGGACACGATATGTAACAAAAATTTTGTAACCATCAAGAAGATATTCAGCTTTTCGTGCACAGTTTTCATATTCGCACCACATGTATCCAAAAAATTGTAGTGGATATTCTAACGTTTCAACAATGTTTTCATATGTTTCTTGGGTTGTGGGTGAATTGTGTGTAAGAATTGCCACATTTTCCAGCTTTTGTACCAGCTTTCAAACTTCCATGATTGATGGGAAAACCACATGTTCCTATATCAATAAGGGGATTTAGTTCTTATTCTTGGCTTTTTTCTCTTAAATTTTGAAGAAATAAAAAGCTGACATAAACTCTGAATTGAGATAACGAGTATTAATGGTATCAGATTTTTTACCCTAAAACCTGACTAAAAGGTCCGTCTGTCCCTATTGAAATATTTGATTAAGTGACTAGTCAAACAAAATTGTGTAATATGGAACAGTTGGAAGTATCAATAAAAGCTCACTTCAAAAATATGGACTAAGACCATATGTAGACATATACCCAGCCTTTGTTTGACCATATTTAAATGTTTTTGCGATATCGCTATCAAAAAAACATTTTTTATCAAAACATTCGCTATTAAAAAAACAATCTTTTATAAACAATTCTCCAGAATGTGATGAGGTATTCATAGTATGCCTCAAGTAAACACTATTTAAAACCCAACTATCTCAGCTTCAAGTGTCAACGATCCAACGAACATTTGATCAACTGTTTTAAAATTGCTTAATTCTGATTTAGCTTCAAAGCAGGTTTCTAGAATAGGAGGAGGGGAAATTAAAAGTGATAAATATGATGATGGTTTAACCAAAAGATTTTCTTTGTATATGCTTTTTGCTTCTCATATGCGATGTCAATGCAGCCTCTCCCATATAAGAAACATTGATTTCATTAAAACAATAGATAAACTTAGGCGTTGAGGCGTTTATCCTCTGAACCCTAAGTTTGAATTGGTCATCATATAACCATTTTTCTTGAAACACACTTATATTATTAGGTATTTTTTAAAAATCTATTACACTAAAGAGAAAAAACATCTTGAACAAATCTAAACAGATATAATTTTAAAAATTGACTGCAAGTTAAATTAGTAACACTAAAAACACCAAACTAATTTAAAAACACAAAATACAAAAAGTTCTTAATTAATCAATCAATTATATATTTCAGATCATGTTTTGCAATTAAGTATTTTTACAAATAATAAATTAAGTAATGCAAAGTAAACATTTCTTAATGGTAATAACTGAACAATGTTGATAAGGATAATAATAGTCTTAATGATTATAATATAAAACAATGGCAAAGCTAACATATATAACAATAGCTATAATAAACATCAATGCATAATTGAATGGAAAAAAGATCTCAATTGTATCTTTGTATATAAGAATTTCTTTAAAAAATTTAAAAACACTTTAGAGAAAATACATATAAATTATATGTAATAAATTTATTTATAATACATATAAATGGGTTCCCGCAAAGACTAGGGGAACCCATTTATATGTATTATAATAAATTTATTAAACTTTTTTTTTTTAATTAATAAACATCTAAACAAGACAAATTGAATAATATAAAAAAAAATTACATTAAATATTGCAATCAAAACAATCTTTTATTTAAAATTTATCACTACTGAATAAACAAAATAAAAAAAAAAAAAAATAGATGCTCGAATCCTAATACAGGTATTTATTATTTTAAATGAATTAATTTAATGCATAGGTGCTAATTGTTCATTGTATTTTTATAGAATATGGATAAATTTAATCATATGGACAAGCTGCTATGTTGCAAAATCTACTCTTTTTGATAGAAAAAAAAGTAATCTAATGACCAAGGAGCGCCAAGAAAGATGAGCAGCATCACTGAAATAGTTGATGATTAATCAAAATTTATGAGTGACATAGACTGACATAATAGAAAAACCGTGTTGACACAAGATATATATATGTGTATATATATATACATATATATATATATATATATATATATATATATATATATATATATATATATATATATATATATATATATATATATATATATATAAATATGGTGAAAAATAGATATAAGAGTAAAAAAGAAAAACAAATAAAAATTGTTTAGAATAGAAGATTTAAAAAAAAAATAAAAAAAATAAAAAGTGAAAACAATGAAAATATAAAAGAATAAAAATTAAAGAAAAACATTAAATAAACAGAAGAACTAAACACAAAGTTAAAAGAATAAAAAATGTTCCTGATAAATTCGAAAATAAAAAAACTTTAACGAGAAAACAAAAATAACATTTTTTAAGTTTTATTATTTTATGTTGTTTGGATTGCTTTTTACTGTCGTTTATTTTTGTGCATTGCTTATAATGTTGTGTGTTTTTATGTATTTTTTTATATTGTGTTGTACTTCAATGTTTTGTTTATACTGTTATATAATTTTGTGTATCGTTTATATTGATGTGTACATTTCTTATGAAAATGCAAAGCTGGGAAATAAAGTTAAAGTTAAAACCAACAAGAAATCTAAAATAATTGATTCTTAAAGTTGTGCCATCAAAACGTTGGTCAGCTTCACCAGTTAAAAATTCTTCTACCAACATCCCTCTACTCCACTACTTAATTTGGAGGTTTAAAAATCTAGAGGATTAGAAATTCAATTGATTTTAATGCAATTACAATAACCAGGTTAATAAACCAAAAGCCAAATATACATACATATATATATATATATATATATATATATATATATATATATATATATATATATATATATATATATATATATATATATATATATATATATATATATATATATATATATATATATATATATATATATATATATATATATATATATATATATATATATATATATATATATATATATATATATATATATATATATATATATATATATATATATATATATATATATATATATATATATATATATATATATATATATATATATATATATATATATATATATATATATATATATATATATATATATATATATATATATATATATATATATATATTAGATTAAGAATAGCAAGGGAAAAAAAAAGATATGGTCAATCAAAACACAGAAACCATAAAGTATAAAAGTTTTAGTCAAATATTTTGTCTTAATTATGATATTTTTTTTGTCAAAAATTATTATCATTACTAATCATAAAACATTCTTTAATACTTTACCTTAAGAATATTATTTTTCTTAAAAATATTGTTTTTCTTAACAATATTGTTTTTATTAACAATATTGTTTTTATTAACAATATTTTTTTAATTACCAATATTATTCCTATTAACAATATTGTTTTTATTAACAATAAATTAAAGTTATTTTAAGATTATAGACTTTTACTACAACCTTTAGCTATAAACTAATTTATAAGGTTTGATACAAGCTTTAGTTATGAGCACATTTATGTTAATTACTGACTTTACTTATAAGTCCAGTTAATAGCATTACTAACAAACTTAAAATTATTTAACTATCACATCAAACATCAGAAAAGAAAAAGAGTTTATTGGACAAGAAATTACTCAAAAAATATTAGTTTTCTTTTTCATAAAAGAGAAATTTCAAAAATAAAGTATGCAAAAATTAAACAACAATTTACCTCTTTCAAACAAATCTTTAAATTTTTTTTTAAGCTCGCGCTTCCCTGAGTCACCATTCTCTCCAAACAGAGTAAGAAAAACATTAGCATTAGTGCCTGCACCTTTTATGTCTGCAGTATAGACTCTTATTTCATATTGTATTGGAACAGATTCTGAAAAAAACAAAAAACTTTAAACAATTTATAAAATATTATACAAATATTAATTCTAATTAAATATATCTTTTGTCACCTCTTATTGTTGCAACTTTTGATTTTTCTTCACCAGAGCAGTCTAACTGCACACGTGATAATTTAATCCAATCATTGCAATTAAATAGATAACTATACACAATCATACAAATAAAAAGTTTAACAAATAATTCATATTTCAATTGTCACTTTTATTAAAATCTATTTAAAAAACATTGATTTGTTTGAATGGTTTTATACTGAAACAAAATTCCTCTGAATATTGTAATGTCAACCTACCTGCAGTTGGATATTGTAATGTCACCCCACCTGCAATTGGATATTGTAATGTCACCCCACCTGTACTTGGATATTGTAATGTCACCCCACCTGTACTTGGATAATGTAATGTCACCCCACATGCACTTGGATATTGTAATGTCAACCCACCTGTACTTGGATATTGTAATGTCACCCCATCTACATTTGGATATTGCAATGTCACCCTACCTACACACACAAAAACAAACAAATATAATAAAATTTTAATTCAAATCAAAATAAGATCATCTACCTGACATCAGCAACAACATCTTTTATAACAATTTTATCCAAATGCCATTTTTTAGCAGTATCACTGGCTTCTTTTTTTTCCACCAAACAGATGTATATACTTTTTAATCTGTCTAATGGTTTTGTCACAAAACGCATGGTATCAGTTTGACCACTTCTAAGAACTTTATTTTTTGCTGAATTTTGAATAATAAGCTCATCAGATTTCTTATCATTTATGTCAACTAAAATAAGCATTGCATTAAGGGATGTTCCTGAATTTTTCTTCTCTGATGTAAACACTGTGACTTCATATTCTGTTATGTAAAAAAGAACATATTATTAAAAACTGTTTATAATGCAAGATAAACAAAGTAACATACAGGCTGATTAAGTAAAAGTTTAATAAGTGTGATTCTGTATAAGTATGAAGTATTGAAAATCAGTAATTTGTGCAAAACTGGATAAGTGTGAACTCGTATAATTAGACCAAAAAAGTTTACGAACATTAGTATGTATAAACCTTCATGATTTTTGATGAAAATTTGTAATATGCAAACTGCAAACTTTTATAAAAATAGTAAAGTACATACAACAACTGGTTGGTAGAGACACTTACAGCAAAATATACATACACCCACAAATGAGTTTTGACACCCACAATTGAGTTTTGATTGGAAAAGTTGCATTATCTGCATTTTGTAAAAAATGAAGAAAAAAGTTTGAACAAATGCAAAGTATGCCAAGTATGCCAGTTTGCAATTAAACAGATTTTTATTCAAGTTTCGACAACTGCTTTGCAACCTTATAAAAACTTGTGTTTGTATAAGTTTACAATTATATGTACTTATGCAGACAACATGCAAATTTATAGTTATGCAGATTTCCACACAAATTTATTTACTTAAAACAGAAAAATCACCCTAAAATACCATTAGAAACACAACTTTATGTACTTTAGGCAGAAGAAAAATCCAACAAAAAATAGTTTGAAGAAAATTAGTAATTTTTTCATTTGGCATAAGGTTACTATAAACAGACTTGTGACATTATTTTATTTTTGTAGATTTCCTAAGTATCCTAAATTTGATTTTTTTTTAATGATTAATCCTAGTTCAAAAAATATTTTTTATGTCTGAATAATACATGCCTTTTTTTAGCGCAGGGGATATGGTACTAAGTTTAACAATGTTTTGCTAAACTTGGTAGACATTAAACATTTAGTAACACCTAAAAGGTTCCAACCAAGTGTAACACTTAACCAACCCTTATAGATAACAGCATTTGAAATTGCATATTCTCAGGATTTTGGCAGAGTTCTTTATTTAATAATGGTTTCATACTTAAACAACTTTTCTTGGTTCAATCAAGACAATCTCCAAAAGTCTATCAAATCATAAAGTGAGGTGAAGTAGGACAAGCTAGAGATAAAAATCTCAAAAATATAATTAAATAAGTTTGTCAATATGACTCAATTAATTGTCAAGAAACTACCCTGCATTTTTACGGTAACAACCGCTGTCGAAAGCATCTGTAATGATGCCAAAATAGGATTGAGGATTAAAAGATATTTTGATAATGCTGCTGGTAAAAAAGTTAAAATATTCTGAAAAATTTAAAAGTTTTATGTTACACCATGGAGTTAAATTATACTCATGTGATAATGTGAACATATAAGTATTAATTTAAATGTTCTGTTTCAAAGATCATCCTGTTAGTTGAATGGAAAAAAATTGCTTTAAGTATTAGCAAACAACTGAACCAAAGGAACCTAAAATAAAGTTATTTTAATTAATTTTTAAACTAAACAATTAAAAGAGCTAGACAAAAAACATTTAATACAGAGTTGCATTACTGCTCAAAATCTTTTTGAAAGTTTTTTTAACATTTGGTGATATTCAAACAATATTGCAACTATATAGAAAATATGGAAAAAGAGGTGGTTTTTAATGTTAACAAATTATAAACAAAATAAGAATTCATAGCTCTACAAATCAGACACTGCAAACAAGCTAATATTTTTTCAAACAAAAACTTTTCATATCTTAATCTACAAAATAGAAACTGTAAGTAAGTAATATTTTTCAAGCACATATAGTGCTATAAAAAACTTTTAAGAATTTTTTTTTTTTTGTGGTGTGGTCATTTCAAAAAGGTTTTTTAAAAATCAAGGTTAAAAAAAATGTAACAAGCTGAGCTACCCTTAATTTGCATAAATTTTTAAAGTTCATAATAATTTTTTTAAAGTTCATAATGATTTTCACAATTAATATGACCATATAATTTTAAAATCTAATAAAATTACTTTTGCCATTAATTTTTTCTTTATTAGTAGCATTAAACACAATTTTGTCTGAATTGGTCAACACACAAAGAACATAGATACAGTAGTGGTAGAGCGCTCACATTGTAAGCAAGAAGTTCAGTCCCCACAACATTGTTTGTGCAGCAGCCTCATTCATCATGGTTTGTGTTTTGGAGTTAACCATTTTATTTGCCAGTGATGCTATATGGTGTCATTGACTTCAAACAGTAAAAATAATAAATTTGCAAACAGTTTGGAGAATTTCTCTGTGATTGTTTGTAAAGTTAGTGTAAAAACACTTATTTTACACATAAGCACAAAGATTTCCTCCACATGGTCTGCATATTGCATCCAGTGGCACATGACAACTAGTTTCCTCCAAGGCGACTGAAATTTAAAAAAAAATGCTTTTCAGTAGCCCTGTAGGACAACCAGACAGTTTGTTACTTACAAAAGTGTAAATATAAAACCATATTTTGATTCATGAAGATTTTATTCCTTGTGATTATTCAAAAGAAAACTTTAAAAAGCATTTAAAGTAGTTTAACAATGAGAACACTATGGTGCGTTATATAAAAAGTAGTTTAACAATGAGAACACTATGGTGCGTTATATAAAAAGTAGTTTAACAATGAGAACACTATGGTGCGTTATATAAAAAGTAGTTTAACAATGAGAACACTATGGTGCGTTATATAAAAAGTAGCCAACATGCGATTTAATGCTTCAAAGTGCGACTGCATTTATTTTTAAAAATTGTTGTTGCATTTTAAAGCACATTTCTTCTTAATTTAAAATGAGTTTTAAAATTACATTTTTTTTTCATTTCCAAATGCTATCATATCATTTTTCAAACCTTATAGTCACATTTTAAATCATATGAATGGGCAGATTAATCATTAATAACACTGATTTTCTTGTTTTTCATTAGTAAAATAAATTTTTTTTTTGTTATTCTTTGTCAATTAAAAAAATAAAATAAATAAAAAACATTATTAAGATGCACATGAAAAATTATTAGAACGCAATTAACGATGCATGTGGAAATTGTTTTTTATTAAAAAGAAGTCTTAGTATAATGAAAAATGTTTAGAACATTAAAAACATGTTTTAAACATTAACTAAATTAAATTTGATTGAAGGTTGAGTATTTTTCTATACATAAAACATTTCTTTGCAGTTATGGCTTTCAACTTTTTTGCTCCATGTAATGAAACCTTTGTTAAGATTGACAAAAACAAAACAATATCGACTAGGACAAAAATGACAACCCATATTCAATTAATTCTATTAATAAATTAATTAATTTACTTTTAAATAAACCGCTTCTTGTTAGACGTATTTAAGTAGTCAGACGTTTAAATTTTTTTTCTTCATATTTTCACCTTAAGGAAAAAAAAAAAAATTTACACTAGAGAATGAGAAACAAAAAATGTTTCAGTCGTCCACAGGGCGACCGGGAAAAAACGAGAGGGTACACCACTGAATGGCCCTCTCAACCTTGAATTGAATTAACAAAAAAATGCAACAATTTGTTAATTTTAAGCACACTACTATTGTTTTTTCTACAAATGTATATATATGCTCTATAGCTATATTCTTTTTTTTTCTAGTAACTCACAACTTAATAGTTGTTGCTTGCAGCCTTGTTGGGAGTGAATTAGAAGAATAATAATAACAGTAATATATATATATATATATATATATATATATATATATATATATATATATATATATATATATATATATATATATATATATATATATATATATATATATATATATATATATATAATAAATAACATCATTGATTAATACCCATTACACAAATAGATTTTTAAACATAATGGCAAAATACAAGTTATGTTACAATAACTTTAATTAATGGATAGTTCACCTATGGTTAACATTTTTATAATGCCATCTATATTTAAAAGTGTGTTCAATCATAAAATAAACGTATGTATTTTTATGTGTTCAATCATAAAATAAACGTATGTATTTTTTTTATTGTTGTAAGTTGTTGTTTAAATTTTGTTTAAACCAACATTACCTTTACAAAAAAAATTTTAAAAATATTTATATGTACATATTTATTCAAACAGTTTTAAAAACATAATAAAGGAAAAAAATCAATTATGTAAAAATACCCATCATGGCAGATTTTTTTTTTTTTTCACTTGATGACTTAGTTGCACAAGCCAATTCTCTAACTATACTTCCATCATCTTCATCTTTAGCAAGCCATCTTTCACATGGAAACAAAAACTTTTCATTAGTACTGCCATCAATGACTTCTACATAGGATAAAAACCAACCAGCTCGCATATTCTTGTTATCGTGCCAAATTCGAAGTTTTGTAAGTTTGCCTAATATTATTTATTTATATTAAAATAAGCTTTAAAAAAAAATTTAAAAATATCTAAATCCTAAGGAAAAAACTGGCAAACAACAATTTAGGTTAAAATTTAACAACCACTAAACTAAATGCAAGCGCATAACATTTTTTAGTTCATAGGATCAAGTAAGAATAATAATCAAAAATGATATTAAAACAAATTTTGACTTTTCTAATGGAACCCCTAAAAGTATCAAAATTGAGCACCCCAACTGAGTCCTTTGCCTTATGTTATATTTCATAAATTCTATAAAAAATTAGCAGATAAAAACAAATAAAAAAAAACACTACCTAAGCTGAGCATTGAAAATGAAAAAATATCAGTGTTTCCACGCTCAAACTTGTCTTTGTTTGTTGAGGATTCTTTTAATTTTAACTCATCAGAGCTACCATTTTCTCCAAATAGTATCATATAAACATTAGCATCTGTGCCACAACCTTGTATATCACCTGTTTTTACACTGATCGTATACTTCGTTTCTAAAATAAAATTTAAATATTTAAAAAAATTATCAAATGATGTATAAAAAGATCATAAATTGAAAAACACAAACCTGCCACCATCTTCTTTCCTTCCATTTCAGCTGGTAACTCACGAACTTTTTTTTTATCACCTTCTGTTTTTGAGAACCATTGACCACAGTTGAATACAACAACTTTTTCAGTTATTAAGTTCATGAATACGACCTTATTATAAAAATCATTTATATGTGAAAAGACAAGAAGAAAAAATATAATTTCAATTGCAAACTTTTTTTTCAATACTAGAAAGAAAGAAAAAAAAAAAAAAAAAAAAAACTTATGTAAAAGATTTTTTTTTCCTAGTATTCTACTCTAAAAAAACTTCGTTCACTTATAAGTTTTTACTCAAATATTTTATAAAATAAAATATGCACCAAAATGTGAGGTAAAGAAAATATTATACATGAATCTATTCAACTTTGATTGCACTGTTTTTAATTAAGAACAAAGTTAATTAACTTTTATATTTTTTGTGGTGAAAATTTTTTTTTTGCTATTTAATAAAATGAAATATAATTCTTATAAATTTAAAGCATAAAATAAAATATATAATTAATATAAATGTACTTTTATATATAAATATAATTTTGGTTTTTCATGCTTCTTTTTAGCAACAAGTTTAAATGACTTTAAGATTTTTTCTGATTTTTCCTTCTTTATATTTTTAATGTTATCTTGTATTATTATTATTATTTTTTTTGTCCTTTATTTAAACATTTAAAAAAACTTTAACCTTTATAAAGATTCCTTAAATAATTTGCTTGTATTGTCTTGTATTTGTTTTGTGCTATATTGGCTCTGGAAGTTTGAGCACATCCTGAATTAAAGTTGAAGTTGAAGAAATTTGAGCTTGATGAAGGAGGAAAAGATAGGATGTGAATTACCCAATCCCTACACCATTTAAATAAACGAACATTAATGTGACTTAAATGATTGTCTATGAAAATGAAAATAAGACAAAATCTTTCAATTTGTTGTCAATTTTTTAAATATCTTTGAAATACAAATAATTTTCCAATTATTTTTTGCTTTTTCCTTGCCATACATTTCTGCTTAAGTGAATAAAAAATTGCCATTGTTAGTTCCAGAAGCATATGCAAGATATTCTATAGTTCCAAGTAAACTTTTCATTAAAAAAAAAATGAACCATTAGCTCCAAAGCAATAGGAAAGTAATGTTTCTTTTAGGACTTGATGGTTCTAGGTTTATGATGGTTCTAATTTTCTTTAGATATTGATGTTCTTTAGGTCTTTACAAACTGTTTTCCCACTTTTCCTTGAAAGAACATTCTTCATGCTCAATTCAATTCAAGTTGTCTCTTTAACATTATAAATAGCATCTAGATAATCAAAGACATGAAGCAAACCATTCTTTCCTAAAAAATTGTCAAAAAAATTTTGCTGGCTGGAACCATCGCTGCTGATCTGCTAATAGATTCAGGATTATAAAGAATTATTCCAGTATTTCTTATAAGAAATAATTTTACCCAATATTCAGTTTCAAGTCCATTTTTGAGCAACAGACTGAAGATTTTCAAAGTTTTTGCATATCCGAAGCAGCTTTAATTAAACTATCCTTTGTTTTATGAATTACCCACTCTGGTATGTCATACTTTTGGATGCAGCATAAACCGATAAGGTTTCTTCTGAAACTTTTGGCTTTTCCTGTATCGAAACAGCTTCATATTTTTTGTATTTTAGAGATATAGTGATAATTGATATTTGTAATTGTTTATCACAATTTTCCATGTTTACAGAAACACATTTATTATATTAATTAAAAAATGAGTTCAAACATTTTTTTATAAAGCTCAAACTTTTCCATTAAATTTCAATTAAAATGCTCCAAAAAAATTTTATTTTATTTTGTGAGTCAGGTATTCTAAAGCTTTTCCCTTAAAAAAGTGACAGAAAGCAAATTACCGCAAAAAACAAATCTTTTATCCTAGAAATAAACAAAAATAGTTTTTATAATTAATTTTTTTTTATAAGCTTATTTCAAAAAGTTATTTTACAGAAATTAAAACATAATGTTAGATAAGTATCAAAGTATAAAACATAAATTTTGACAAATTGCTTCAGAAATAATTTTCAGAGCAATCTTAATTAAAATATTCAGATAACAAAACATTTTTAAATAACAAATTACATTAAAAAAACATAACAGGAGTGATAAAACTTTGAAGAACAAATATATGAATAAATAACAAGACTTAACAAAAAATTACTTTCCAAACATATAAAAAAAGTTTTTAGAGTGATATTTAACAAAAAAAATATTTTGTTATTAAATAATTAGCAGTTAGCTATAATCAATTAATAATTTTCTATAATAATTTTCATGTGATTGGGAGTAACAACCAAAAAATAATTGCAAGCTGAGTGCAACTTTTCCTTAGTCCAAGAACAGCTTGATAATTAACTTGTTAAAGCAAAATAAGACATTCAGATTGATATAAGAAGAAACCAGAAGGATTTAAAAAAACATCAACAATTTAAAAAAGAAACATCAACAACTTGAAGAGTTTCAAACATTGGATATCTATAGAACCAGCCAAGATTATGAGCCAAGCACAAAACAACATCCAATATTGATTGAAAAACCTTCTTGAAGAAGAACTTGAATTTCAAAAGAGCCATTTTTCAAAACCAAAAAAAAAGTGAACTTAAAACACTTAGTGCTTACTTCTTCTTAAAATCCCCCAAAAAACTTTCATAGAAAAACCCATCGAGACTTTCAAAAACTCATTAAAACTGAAGTCATTGAAAAACCGATCAAAACTAAAGACTTTTAAATTGATAGTGAAAACTTGCATTTGTAAAAAATTATGTAAACATGCTGTTATTCTGGATGACAGAAATCAAAATGTAATCTTGTAAAGTCTGATGAAACATAAAAAGATGGAGAAAAGAAGGCAAAATATTCAAACTTAACTGGATTTAATGAACATTGAATTTTGGTGGAAACAATGCTATGGTGTGCTATTGATGGCCTAGAATAAAACATGAATGTTGGAGTTAATTGATGGATTTTAAGTTTTTGTTAATATTCTCAATAAAAATTTTCTCAATTGAAAAACTGCAAATAGAAAAACATATCTTCTAATTTGGTAATGACCCCAAGCATACGCCAAAATCTGGGGCACAATATCTTAAAAAAGTTATTAAAGATTATGACTTCAAAAAGTTTGGATTTAAATTGATCTAGATACAACAAAAAAGTTGAATCAATAAAAAATCAACTAATAGTGGGTTAATGATACAAAAAAGTCATGAAAATTATTTATTTAAAGAAAATTCTAACAATTATGTTATGGTGAAAATTTGTTTCAATGTTTTATTAAACTTTTAACATATAAAGTTAGTATAATTTTTTTTTTTGTTATCTGAAAACTTAGTTTAATTTCCTTTCAGAATAAAAATTTTTATCAAAATTTATCATACCTTATCAAGAAACCAATGTGGACGACTTCCTTTTCCATTATGTCCAATTCGAAGTTTTGTTAAAGTTCCAACATCTTCAATATCCATGCGAAAAATATCAACTGAACCACGCTCAAATCTACAAATATATATATATATATATATATATATATATATATATATATATATATATATATATATATATATATATATATATATATATATATATATATATACACATATATAATCTAACAAACCAAGTAAAACAAGCATAAAAAAAAGTTTAACAATTGATAAACTTCATATCGATTTCTAATAATAATTTAAAAAATCTAAACCTCTCTTCTCCTTTATCAAGTTTAATTTCTGAAGATTGACCTTGTAGGCCAAACAAAGTCATTTTTATTTCAGAGTCAGTTCCAGCATTTTTTATATCACCAGTATAGAAAGTAATTTGGTAAAGAATCTCTAAATATCATTAATATAATTAAAAATATTGTATATATACATGCACACACAAATATATATATATATATATATATATATATATATATATATATATATATATATATATATATATATATATATATATATATATATATATATATATATATATATATATATATATATATATATATATATATATATATATATATATATATATATGTGTGTGTGTGTGTAAAGTATCCTTAGACGATATAAATCTATAAAAATTATATCTAAATAAATTAATTATTTCTAAATAAATTTTAAAAAATTTTCTATTTTCTCCATAATATACATTTATCCATAATTAAATAACAAATTTTCAAAAATCAATTTATTCAATAATTCTTTGTTTCATCTGCTTAATTTATTCAAGATTTATACAATTGCTTCTATACAAAATATTATAAAACCATAAACTTATTTAAGCAAATTCTTTGTTGCATTTTGCCAAAAAGTATTCTAATAGTGGTATAGCATTCATACACCACACATCTTATATACAATGCTTAACCTATTTTTCTGAGCAACAACCTTTTTTTATCAAAGTTCTTGTTTTAAAGTTTAAGAGTTGAAAGAGGATTGTAACAACAAGTGAAATAGGCTTTAACGTTAGGGAGGTAGTAATCCTTACTAATCTCTTAAGTAAAAATTCTTCAACTTTATGGAGGGGAATAGTGGGGAAAAAATAACCATTCCATGTTTTGTTTATAAAAACATTGATTCGTCCTCTTTTACAGAGTTTACTGTTTTATTAAATAATTTGTGCCTCAAGTACCTAAAAAATTTATTGCAACTTTAGATATCAAAAGAATGTTATGTTTGAACAAAGTAGTTTTAAATTTTAGTTGCGGATCTATAGATCTCCTCTCTGGCAGGATATGGTTTTTATAAATATATCAAATATTCTAAAATTCTATTTTTTGTTAAGAAAAATGCTTCCTCTAATTGAATTTCATTGAGAACCACAGCAACTACTTAAACATTGAGAACCACAGCAACTACTTAAACCTTGATATTAAATGTCTTTAGGTAAGAATTTACAAATTGCATTTCTGTCAAGGTAAATGTTGTTAATTTAAATCAAAGGTCTAAGAAGGTAGTAGCAAGAAATGTCTTTACTTAAATAAAACCTGATTTCCAACTGCATAGTAAAACTTGTTATTTTTTTATCCTTTGAGTAAAGACAGCTTTTCAAAGTTGTAAGACAGTAAAAAACTAATGCTTATGCTTTGTTTTGCCCTTAAAATTCAGAATTAAAATATACAAATAGACTGGAGATTCTATATCATTTGGGGGCTTTGATTATGAGCCTTCCTAACTTGTATTGATTTGTATTTATTAACTTGTATTGTATTGATTGGATTTATGAGCAACAGTCTAGCCAACCAATTTCAACAACTTCTAGTGTGCACAGCATATTTAGATGTATTACTTGTAACTTAAAAAAATATTATCTGAAATCAAGTTGAACTTTACTAACAGGTGTTTTATAATTTCAGCAAAGAAATTAGTTATAAAGCAAGCATTTATCAGTTCAAGATTTACAACAGAAAAGCATGATTCTAAAACTCATGAATTGTAAGTAAAAAGTAGATACAAAAAAAGGTTTTGATCATTGGCAGCCTTAAAGTAATCAAAAGTGATGCTAGGTTTTGTAGACTTTTTTTTTAATACTTTAATAATATCACAAAATATTTGAAATTATGGAGAATGATATCACCTTGCAATAAGAGAAATTGATAAAGTCAGATTTAGAAGCTGTCTCAAATGATAATCTTCATTCATTTTTTTAACAGCTGTACCTATTAAAGGTCAAATAAAATGAGTTCAACATAGAATCTGATGTTTTTTGACGTCATCAGTATTCAATTTTCTTTATAGTAGAATGGTACTTTTATAACTTTTTATGGTCCAATTTAATAGAATAGTTACTTGTTACTGTAATCTTACCATTTGCATTGTCAGAATTTTCCTTTTTTTTCTCAAACTGAACTCTTAAACTAACAAAAAACAGATTTTTAGCATAAAGTGAAACAATAGTTTATTTTTTTAAAGGCCTAGTGATAAATATGGAAATGTTATAGTTGATTCTTTTAATGTCATGAAACGTCCTCTACAAAGTCTTTTAAGCCTTTAATACTCAAGAATCTTTACCAGATCAGAAAAATGATCTTATTTCAAACAGGCAACCATACCAAAAGAACTATACAATTGTAATGTTAGGTAACTTTTTTTTAATAGACTTTTTAGAAATATTCTTCATTCAAACAGAAAACAAAAGAAATGATCAATTTAACAATAAACTAATTTTATATATATATATATATATATATATATATATATATATGTATATATATATATATATATATATATATATATATATATATATATATATATATATATATATACATATATATATATATATATATATATATATATATATATATATATATATATATATATATATATATATATATATATATATATATATATATATATATATATATACATATATATATATATATATATATATATATATATATATATATATATATATATATATATTTAATATATTAATATGATTTCTTATAGTATTATTTAATACATAATACAATATTTTCTATTTTAATATTATTTAATTGAGAGTATTATACACATACAAAATATTATATTTAAAATATTTATATTTTGTTTTGTTTATTATATAACTCACCATACTTTAAAAATTTAAAGCATACTTTAATTATAATATAAAAATATTAAAGCACATAATAGTATAAAAATATTATAATGCATACTTTTATTATAAAAATATTTGTAATGTTTTTTAACTTAAAGTATATATTGTAATGATTATGAGGTATAGATTGCGCATGATAAGATGCTATGATCTTCAAGAACTCCTGCTAATAATATACTCAATGTAAATTTACCTTTTATATATTATTCTGGTAAAAGGAAAAAGTAATAACAATACACACACATAAGTTCTCACTTGGTTTATAAGACACATCTTTGTTTTCATCAACTGAAAAGATTCTAGCAGTTTTTCCATCTTCTTTGTCTTTGCCAAGCCAACATTGACAAGGAAAAAAATATTTACGCCCAGTTGTAGGAACATCCACCTCCACTTTATTCACATACCAACTATCTTTTGGAAGATAGCCATCATGCCCAAGCTAAGTATTGACAAAAAAAAAAGAATGTAAACAAAAGAAAGTTTAGATGACAAATTTTTAAAAATATAAATATGTTTGAAGCAAGCGTCTTTACAACAACTATCACATCAAGAGTCAATAAACAAATAAACAAATAGGGAAAAAGTTAAGTAGCAAGTCTTTTTTTTTAATTACTGTTGACTTTAAAACCATTTTTTAAAGATATGACAAAATTATTATATATTAATATTAGATTAATAGAGGTAAAAAATAAATATAAATAATATAATTAAATTGCATAAAAAATCAGGCTTTTATTAAATGATTAAAGATTGAGTAAAGTGATTGGGAAGCTTCATTTTATTATTTAGTTGTAAAGTTTTCAATGATTTACATAATTTTTATAATTTTAAGATGGTAAAAGTAGAAGTTTCTAGATTTTATCAAGAAAATTGAAAACATCGGTTATAGCTTTACATGTTTAAGATGATTTATACAGAAGAAAAAATAATAACATTTAATCATTTAAATTTACAGCTTAACTTTAATTTTTTGAAAATTTTTCCATTACAATTAGGGTTTTTTTAAAGCTTGTAAATTTTTTTATTTCTAAATATTTATGAACAAATTTCAGGATTTTAAGATATTTAAATAAAGTGACGACTTGACATTTCAAGTTTTCCGGAATGTATTTTTTAAATACTTCTTTTTGTAACCCCAGCTATCTCAACCCTTTTGTAACCAAGAGCTCAAAGGCAAGGTATGGTTTCAAAGTTACTTTATCCTAGTTTTTACATAAAAAAGTATATCTTACAGAAAAAAAATCCTAAAAAAACAAGTACTGTATCATATTCTATCAGTAGAATGGTGCTTTTAATCTAAGGTTTTATGATTCAAATAAGTATTTACATACATAGTGCTTTTAAAATATTGTGACAAATCAAATGAACATTTTTTAACTGTTTTTAAAAAATTGTGACAAATCAAATGAACATTATTTAACTGTTTTAGTAACTCAAATAACTAAATAATTAAAATTTTTTTTTTTCATTAATAAAAACTTTTTTTTGATTAATTAAAATAACTGAAATTTTTCTTTCATTAGAAAAAAAATCAAATTACAAAGTATTGAATCTTAAGAGTTTAAAAACTTTCTTTTTAAAACTATATTTTTTCATTATGCTCTTTCTTGCTAACTCCTAAAATTAAAATAACATTTATTACAGTTCAAAAAAATATTTTTTAAACTGTAATAAAGTTTTTAAGAAGAAAATAAAATAAACCTCTATTTTCTTCATATCTCCTATATCCTCAGATTGAACAGAAAATGTTTCAACAGAACCAGATTTAAAACTATCCTTTCCAATGAGCTCTAAAGGAATTTTTGGTGAAGCACCGTCTGTACCAATGAAAACTATAAAAACATTAGCTTCAGTGGAACTTTCAGGTTTTTCTCCTGTCCATATGCGCACAGTATAAGGAATACCTAAATAATCAAGTAAAAGAGTTTATTCTAAAATTTAAAAAATTAATTTAACTTTAAAATAAGTGTGGTAAAATAAATGCATGTTATACAAAAAATCAAAATACTTTCAAGAAGGCATCCTAATGTTGATGCTCCACCCAAGGACACTTTTGAAGAAGATTTTTTCATTTTACCATTCACTTGTTGTTTAAAAACTGAATCAGCACTATCACTTCTTTTTAATAAAGACTTTTGTGGTGCTTCTAAACTAGCAACACTAACGCTGCTACCAGATATCATCCTACTTCCATAAAGTGATCCTACTGATGAATGTAAGGAGTTTCGATCCCCCTAAAAAAACTTCTTTATATCAATTTTAGATTAAAATAAGGTATACTATATTTATATAAGATAAATACAAATACTGTGCTACAGTTTTTATGAATAAATTTTTTAAACACTTACCTCGTAACTTTTTTCATATAAAGTTCTTTTGATTTTTCCATCATCTCTCTTTTTAGCCAACCATCTTTCACAATTAAATATAAACTTTCGATTATGTTCAGATGTATCAATTACTTCAATCCTATCCAAAAACCAATCAGAACCAATATTTTTGTCATCATGACGAATAATAACTTTATGAATATAACCAAGATCAGCTGCTTCCAAAAGAAACATATCATCCTTTAAAACAAAAAAATAAAATGCAAAATCATTCAAAACCAAAAACACATCACCACATAAAAACACATCACCACATTTTTATTTTTAAACATATTCACTTCCAACAAGGCTGCAAGCAACCACTATTAGAGTTAGAAGTTACTAGAAGAGAAAAGATGAAGTTTAAGAAACAAGATAACAATTGACAGACAACTTAAAAGATTGCAAATTATATGAAGCAGGAAAACAAGATGAAGGTCCAAAGAACTAATGTTAGAGCACTTAGAAACAGACACAGTAAAAGTATGAAACTTAATTGAATGACAAGTAACACAAATTTTAGTAGATGGCACAAGAGACACTAGCTCGTTAGAGCAGCGCCCATTTTAGTATTTATAGAAAAGAGAAAGAGAAGCAACATTACAACACTGTGACAATGGTTGATAATTGGGTACAGGAGCAGGTTGAACTATGTTTTCAATTCATTTTTGCACCTTGTGGAAAAGAGAAAGAGCATCATTCAAAGATCATCTCCAGATATAGCAACAATATTCCATACAAGGGCGAATTTAAGATTTATAGAGATAAAGAATAGAATCCAGAGTAGGAAAGAGGCGTACACAATAGAGCTTTAACCTTGCAGATGCTAGTTTTGCATGATTTACATGGATTTGATATATGGTTTCCAAGAAAGATCTCCGCATCCATCTAACGTACAATAAAACCTATCAGTAATTACCAAAACCCATATTGATGATCAGAAAGTAAGTTACTAGATTCAAGATGAAAGATTAAGTGTTTGTTAATTAAAGACTGAAAAACCCTGCTTTTGATAGTAAGAAGACTAATGGGACGGTGGTAAAACAAGTGATATTGCTTTCCAGAATTTTTGAAAATAAGGATAACAGATTCCGCTTTCCAGCAGATTGGAAAACAAGACTCTGAAAAACACTTATCAAATAATTATGAAAGTATAGACATAAAAACACATCACCACATAATAAATTTTCAAATTTTAAAAACTTTTCTTTTAAGCCTTTCTTTTAGTAAATTTAAAAGGTAAACTTAGTTATTTATAAAAGACTGTTGTGAATTACTATCTGCAAAGTTATGAATTGTTATCTAAAAAAAGTTTTCAAAGATTTAAAATAAACAGTTAAAAGATTTTAATTTGTGATACAGGAAAAAAAAATTTACATTTTTTCTTTCAAACATGTTGCGGTTTGTTTCACTTTTTAACAACTGTCGTTCTCCAGTGTCTCCATTTTCACCAAACATAATCAAAAACACATTTGCATCTGTTCCTGCCCCTTTAACATCTCCAGTATACACATGGACTTCGTATTTGTGAACTGAATTAGTATGAGAAATATTATAAAATATGTAATATATATTATTTATTTAAAAGATATTAAAAAAGTTATTAAATAATATTGAATGTATATTACTTATTTACAAGATATAAAAAAAAACTTGAATAAAACTAACTTTCTAGAATAGCATCCACTCTCTGTTCAGAAACAGATATCTTTCCATTCTTATCAACTGACTCCTCCACAATTTTTGATGGAACCAACTCCCTGACAATAGCACCATCATCTTCACCTTTTGCAAGCCACCGATTGCAAAGAAAAGTGAAAGTTAATGATCCTGATTTTTTCTTTACTCCTTTATTGTCCACAAGTTTTCTTACTTCCACCTGGATAAATGTTTAAAAATTTGAAAAAACCTTGGTAAAAAATTATGTAAATAATGTATTTATAAAGTTTTTTTATTTTTAATATTTTTTTAAGAATTTATTTCATTATTATAACTGAAAAATTTTTCCCATAAAATTTTAATTTTTCTGTTTAATGTATATAAAGAAGTTTATTTATGAGTATGAAATTTTTTATACAACAAAATTTATTTATTCAAAAATTTGTTATTTAAACAACTTAAAAAAATAAATATTACCTTGCTTATCTATTTTATTGGATTTTTTGTAGTTAGTAATACAATTTTATTATATTGCACTGGTAATATGAAACAACTTATTGTATTGCACTAGTAATATGTTACAACTCATTATATTGCACCGGTAATATGTTACAACTAATTATATTGCACCGGTAATATGTTACAACTTTTTAAATTGCACTAGTAATATGTTACAACTTATTGTTTCTTAAATACTAATAGTTTGTCAACTATATTCAATGATATAAAAAATTTATGCAAATATATATAGTTTAACATCACCAAAAAAAAAAAAAAAAAACTAAATAAATATATATTTATATGCCTTATTAATATACACTTATTTTATGTGTGTATTTCTTTTAAAAACAAAACAAAAGTATAAAAAATGTCTGAAAACTTACTTTGTCCAAATGCCATGCTGCACCAAAGCCTTTATTGTCATGACCAATACGTATTTTATCAATCTGCTCCCCAACATCAACTAACTACAAAAAAATAACTTATGCATTGATTATGGAAAAATCTTTTTAAAATGTATATACATTATAAAAAAAAAAAACAATTTAAAAAAAATTTACTTCTCTAACAAAAACATCTACTGAGGCTCTGTTAAAACATTCTTTTCTTTTTTTGCTAGTATCATTTAAAAATACATCATTCGTACAAATGCCACCCATACCATAGAGAGCAATAAAAACATTACTTTCTGTTCCTGCACCAGGTAAGTCACTTGTGTAAACAACAATTTCATAAGGGACATCTAAAAAAAATAAATATAGAAAAACTGAAAATGAAAATAACTAAGTTATTAAAATGCATAACTTATTTTTCTTTTTAATGGAAATTTAAAAATTATAAGAAATTATTATCATAGTTATTAAAATTTATTATTTGTATTTAAGCAATTAAATACAAATGAAAAAATATGTTTAGTTTTTTTGTTAATAAAGTAATCTTATTGGTTTACTTGAAAAAAAAAAAAAAAAAAAAAGAATATAAATAGGGAAGACTTTATTAGAGAAAAAAAATGTACTTTTCATTTTATTTATTCAAAATGAAACACCTGAAATGAATCATAACACCATTTGCATTTATTATTAAAAAAGAAAAACATTGTGACATAAAAAAGTACAAAACAACTTTAATTTGATTCATATAAGTGTAAATAGATAAAATTAAAAAACAGATAGTTTGTAATAAATAGAGTAAACTAGTTTAAAAAAGCTTGTCTAAAAAAAAGTCTAAGAAAAGGTTTCGTATTGATTAGCTATTAATTTCTGTGGCAACAAGTCTTAGCAGTGAAAAGATTAAAATTGCATTAAGATTAAAAAATGGTTTTTTCAAAAGTTTTTTCAGAGCTTTTCTCAGATTAGCTGAATGGCGCAATTTTGACGGATTGTTCAAATCTACTGAGTCACCCAACATGATCAAGTGAATCTTCTACAGAAACTTCAAATATGATCTGCCTAATAATCCACAGGCCCATCAAATATGATTTGGACATTCTGATTAATTTAAATACACAAAATGTATAATTATCAACATTAATAATCCACAGGCCCATCAAATATGATTTGGACATTCTGATTAATTTAAATACACAAAATGTATAATTATCAACATTAATAATCCACAGGCCCATCAAATATGATTTGGACATTCTGATTAATTTAAATACACAAAATGTATAATTATCAACATTAATAATCCACAGGCCCATCAAATATGATTTGGACATTCTGATTAATTTAAATACACAAAATGTATAATTATCAACATTAATAATCCACAGGCCCATCAAATATGATTTGGACATTCTGATTAATTTAAATACACAAAATGTATAATTATCAACATTAATAATCCAAAGGCCCATCAAATATGGTTTGGACATTCTGATTAATTTAAATACACAAAATGTATAATTATCAACATTAATGATTCACTTCTAAACATCTTTTTATTTAAACATCCATGATTCAAAACATCCTTTTAAATATAAACATTCACAATTCACTTCTAAAAATTCATTTATAAACATCCATCTTTCATTTATAAACATTTATGACTCACTTCTGAACATTCAATTTTTTAAAATTTTTGTTTATCTTAATCAACTCCCTAATATCAAGAGAGTCAATACAGTGAAGGAGGCTACTTTTTGTGGTTTCACTAGAGTGAAGGAGGCTACTTTTTGTGGTTTCACTACAGTGAAAGAGGCTAATTTATGTGGTTTCAAGCCTTTTTCAAATCTTTAACTTCGAAAAATGAACCTTGAAGAACAAGGCTGCTACACTAAGAAACAAATTGAGCCATCAATGACTCACTTCCAAACATCCTTTCATTTATATACATCCACAATTCACTTCTGAACATCCTTTTGATTATAAATGTTCATGATTCACTTCTGAACATACTCAAAAAAGCCTACATATTTTGTGTTAATTAAAGATGTGTTAAAACTGTTAAATTAATTGTTAATTAACTGTTAAATCTGTCGAGACTTTGTTTCAAATATGTTATAAAAAGTTGTTAATTTAAAAAAAAAAACAATGAGTTTATTAAAAAATTATGTAAAAAAAAAAAAAAAAGCTATGAAAATAAACAGATATCCATTAAACAAAAAATGGTATAAAAATGTGTAGAAAATTCAAAACTAATATCTTTAATTTTTATACAAAAACTTGAATAAAAAAATATAAAATTAATTTTTATTATTATCTCTATTTGGTTTTATATATTTCTATAACTTTATTTTTAATAAATTGTGTTACTTGTTTATCTTATTAATATCTACATTTCATTTTATAATACATTAATCAAAAAAGATGTTATATTAACAAAAAATGATAATATATAGTATACCATTGCAAGTGTCTAAATACTAAAGAGCATCACTAATATTATACTTCTAGTTTTAAATTTATTCCCAGTTTGAAATACATAAATTTAAATTAATAATAAAATAATTGTAGAAAAAAATTCTATTTAGTAGTATTTACATTTTTGATAGACTTCTTGTCTATCAGAAGATGGATAAAGATCAACTTCTAATTTTCCATCATCCTTATCTTTGTCAAGCCATCTACCTGCTGGAAACATCCATTTTTTACCAATAGAAGGTGCATCAATACTTACATTATCTAGATACCAACCAGCAAATCCACCTTTGTTGTCATGACCGATTCTGATTGACACAAAATAATAAAAAAATATAAATAGCACAAAATAATATTTTAGAAAAACAACTGGTTTTAAGTCTTATATTAATATTAATTTAAAATAATTGACTATAAATAATACTTTCTTATTTTGTTTTTATTGACTATCAACAATAAAATCATAAAAAATTTAACCTAATTTTTGTCAGATCTCCAAGATCAACAGCCTCTGTTGTAAATATATCTGTTTGATTTCTTTCAAATTTATTTTTATTAGATTTTGATGCTTTTAACTCAACTTTACCTAAAGTACAAACATAATTTAACATAATTTATTATTTAAATACAGACAAAAGACTAACTTAAGTAAAAACGCAACTCAATTAAACATATTGTACACATTAATTCAATTGAAGAAGTTAACAATTAACTCATTGACATTTCCTAACTTTTCAAATCATTTAAAAAAATATTTTAAGTCAAAATAAAAATTTGTTTCAAAACCTGAATCTCCTTTTTCTCCAAAAAGAACAATATAAACATTGGCATTTGTTCCAGCACCCGATATGTCTCCTGTTTTTACACTGATGTTATATGTAGTTTGTTCAGCTAAAATAAAATTTTATTAAAAAAAATTTATTACCAAACAAAAAACAACTAAAACTGTAAATAAAAAAAGTTAAAATGTTTAGCATATTAAAATTTATTTTGAGATTTTCATATTTTTATAGAATACCCATTTGTTCAAGATCGACATTGTCCCCAGCAATCGATTTCGATCTTTTAAGTGATTTTTGGCGCTCTAGAGATCGGGATTTTCTTCTTTCATAGTCAACTTGATCTACTGCAACTAATTCTCGTGAAAGTGAGCCATCGTCTTCTGTTTTTGATAACCAACGTTCACAAGGAAATAGATACTTAGCATTTTCCTGAAATAATATTGTGTTATTATATATTTTTAAAAATAATAGATCATTTTTTTTTTTTTTAGCAAAAATAGATTTACAATAATAGTTTATAATAATGATTCACAACAATTATTTGCAATAATGATTTACAACAATTATTTGCAATAATGATTCACAACAATTATTTGCAATAATGATTCACAACAATTATTTGCAATAATGATTCACAACAATTATTTGCAATAATGATTCACAACAAATATTTGCAATAATGATTTACAACAATTATTTGCAATAATGATTCACAACAATTATTTGCAATAATGATTCACAACAATTATTTGCAATAATGATTCACAACAATTATTTGCAATAATGATTCACAACAATTATTTGCAATAATGATTTACAACAATTATTTGCAATAATGATTCACAACAATTATTTGCAATAATGATTCACAACAATTATTTGCAATAATGATTTACAACAATTATTTGCAATAATGATTCACAACAATTATTTGCAATAATGATTCACAACAATTATTTGCAATAATGATTCACAACAATTATTTGCAATAATGATTTACAACAATTATTTGCAATAATGATTCACAACAATTATTTGCAATAATGATTCACAACAATTATTTGCAATAATGATTCACAACAATTATTTGCAATAATGATTCACAACAATTATTTGCAATAATGATTCACAACAATTATTTGCAATAATGATTCACAACAATTATTTGCAATAATGATTCACAACAATTATTTGCAATAATGATTTACAACAATTATTTGCAATAATGATTCACAACAATTATTTGCAATAATGATTCACAACAATTATTTGCAATAATGATTTACAACAATTATTTGCAATAATGATTCACAACAATTATTTGCAATAATGATTCACAACAATTATTTGCAATAATGATTTACAACAATTATTTGCAATAATGATTTACAACAATTATTTGCAATAATGATTCACAACAATTATTTGCAATAATGATTCACAACAATTATTTGCAATAATGATTTACAACAATTATTTGCAATAATGATTCACAACAATTATTTGCAATAATGATTCACAACAATTATTTGCAATAATGATTTACAACAATTATTTGCAATAATGATTCACAACAATTATTTGCAATAATGATTCACAACAATTATTTGCAATAATGATTTACAACAATTATTTGCAATAATGATTTACAACAATTATTTGCAATAATGATTCACAACAAAGTACTCAGAGTATTTTTTAACTGATTAAAATCCTTCAAGATAAAATCCTTCAAGATAAAATCCTTCAAGATAAAATCCTTCAAGATAAAATCCTTCAAGATAAAATCCTTCAAGATAAAATCCTTCAAGATAAAATCCTTCAAGATAAAATCCTTCAAGATAAAATCCTTCAAGATAAAATCCTTCAAGATAAAATCCTTCAAGATAAAATCCTTCAAGATAAAATCCTTCAAGATAAAATCCTTCAAGATAAAATCCTTCAAGATAAAATCCTTCAAGATAAATAACATAGTAAATTTAAAATTCTTCATATCATCAATGCAGAAGTTTGGAACTTTATAAAAAACATTTTTTTTACAGTTTCATAAATAGGTTGAGGTTGGAATTATACCTAGGGTTGATTTTATTTTTTAATTACCCTTTCAAAAAAATTTTATTTTTTTTAATTTTTAAAAAAATGCTCTTTAAAAAAACAAAACCCTTAAAAGAAATAAATGGCATTACAAGGAAGAAATCAAAAAAACTTTTAGTTTATAAACTTAAATGTAACAACATTAATATTAAACATTTTTCTCTGCTACATTTATCTCCTTACAACCAAAGGGGCCATTACAGTCAAGGAAGCTGCCAAATGTTTTTTAACAATTTGTTGTTAACAACTCTGTAAAACCCTCTAACTTATAACTTTGATGGAAAAATTTTGACAAATAAGGCTGCTGAATTACAATTTGAGCTCAATACTACCAAGGACATGGTGGAATCAAACTATCAAGCTCAGTACTTCTACTAGGAAGCAACCACTATTTAATTAACAGTTTGTACAACTTACAAAGCAAGGGATCAATATTTCTATATCTTTTTTTATAATGAAACAATATTAAAATGAAGGATTTTAAAAATAAAATTTTATTTATCAAAACATTACTTTACAACATTTCAACAAAACTAATGCAATGCATTCATAATGATACAATGATTAGTGTAACAACTAGTTAGCATAACAATTAGTGTAATAGTTAGTTTAGGTTTGCAATTCAAAGATATTAAGATATAATTTAATATCTCATTTATCTATAAATGAATATATTTCTGTTAGACATCTTTTCAGCCAGTGAACCCTGAGACTACATTCAGTGTAGAAAAAGCTATACATTTTAAAGATCTCTCAAAAAGGAAGTGGGTGTTATACCAATAAAAATTGAGTGTATTGTTTTAAAATTTATATTTTCACAGTATCAAAAAATTAGGTTGGTGAAACTTGAAATTACGGAAAAAAATATTTATGGCAGATATAATTATTGCATAATGCAATAATTTTAGACTTGAGTTACTCATATTTACAAACACAAAAGCAAAACGTATGTTTTTTCCAAAATTAGATTAGATTCAAAATCTCACAATTGTCTCGAATCTAATTTATGAATAGGGGAAGAATGCATCGAGTTTGAGTCAACAAATTTGACTCAAACTCTGATTTGGATGGATGTTATAAAGATAAAATATCAAGGCTTTTCTACTGCACATCATAGCTATCCAGAAAAACTAAAAAAAATCTGCAAATGCAAAAGTTATCTTTGATTTTTCTGTATTGACAATATCAGATTTAGAAAGAAAAAGTGATAGTAATAACTCTGATATATAATTAATTTTGCTTTACCCTTTTTTTGTATTGTTTGTATTGAAATTTGTATTGAGCAACTTAATTATTTAATTATGTTTTAAAATTAAAACATTTTATGTTTTTAGAAACATTAAAGTTATTAAAACAAAGTAAATGCCATTTGTTTGAAAAAAATATGTAGTACATTTGTTTGAAAAAAATATGTAGTACAATTTTTTGAATTTGTAAAAATTGTAATTTTTGAATTTTTTGAATTTAGCCTCTAAAGATATTTGCAATGCTTATTTAGGTAGACAGGGGCACAGACTTTAATTTTCCTTTTTTTCTATTTGAATTTTTTTTTCTGTTAAAAAAAAAAAGTGACAAAATAACCAGATTAGATGGATATTAGCAAATATTCAGGTTGAATTTCAAAATGTCATATATTTGGAACCATTTAGAGTTTTATTCAATTTTTTATGTGTCATTAATAAGTACCAGTAAATTTGAAGGAATTCTGAGGAAGCAATCAAATAATTTTAGTTGTTTGTCCTATTATATAGAATTTCCCAGAAATAATTTTTACATCAAAATAAAAGAATTTAAAACTTTACCTATTTATATGATATTTTATTTAACTATTATTTCCTTAAGTTTATTATTGTTACTATTTACATTAGAGTTGATTAAAAAGTATAAAATTAATCAAAATTTTGACAAACGAAACTTATCTAGTAGTTATTAGACCTGTGATGATTATTGTAAAATGTTATTTTTTCACCCTCTCCTCTCCCCTCCCCAAGGCTTTTATTATATTATACATATATTGAATAGCTTTTAAATCACCAAAATAAATTCTGAAGAACTTTTTTAACAACTAAACAAATTGAAATCAAAGAAGATGCATTTTGAAATCAAAATACACCTTTTTTTATATATATATAACTTCTAAATTTTGTAAATTAACAAAATGTTACATTTATGCAATCCAAGTAATTGCTATTAAGTTTTTAAAAGTTTTTTAGCAATAGCAGGTTTTGTTTTTAATAGTATTTAGGAAAAGAAGAGTGTCAGTAGCATCATTTCTCCAGTAAGTTACCAGGTATGCCTTCCAATGGCTATTAAAGCTATTCTCCTCTTTGCCCTTTTGATACTTGTTAAACGTTTAATTTCAATTTCAGATTCAAGTCATTGTTTGGTGCATTGGTAGGATAGCATATAAGGTGGTCATAAATCACAAAAGCAAACTGGACAAATCTTTTAAGTTAGTTAGAAAAGCCTGTTGAGTAGTTTAACTGATGTTTGAACAAAAGGATCTTTTGAAAAGAAGTATTGCCATACAACTGGCTTTGTGGAAAGCACTATGCTTGTAGAAAACAATCCTTTTTAGCTTTTCTACAAGTAAAACTGCAGTCATTTTGCAAAGCTTGAGTCTAAGTTACTTTGCTTTACTTAAAAGATTAGCCAGGACAAAATTGCACAGATCATTCTTCTTCATTGTCAGCCATCAGTCTTTATTTTTTTAAAGACTAGGTCTTTATCTTTTTCAAACAAAGGCTTCTATGCATCTTCGCTCCTATGCATCACCTATGCCTCACTCCTATGCATCACCTATACCTTTGCTCCAATGCATCACCTATTGCTCCTATGCATCATCTATGCCTCCTATGATAAAGACTAGGTCTTTATCTTTTTCAAACAAAAGCTCCTATGCATCTTTGGTCATATCATAGAAACAACACCTGCAAGCAAGATAGGGTATTTTTCTATTAAGGTACCTTTAGGTGGCAACTGCAGTGCCTTGAATGCATCTGTTGTTGATTGTTGTTGAATCCCAGCAAATACCAAGAGTTATTTTTCAACATTACACTGTTGCAAACAACAAACACATTTGTTCGATTGTAAGTCAGCTGTTAATGATTTCACCTGTCACTGATTTCAAAAATTGTTGAAAAAAAAGTTGATATACTGGGATATTTTCCAAAAGAATAACAACATGTCCATCTATAATTTTCTTACACTAATGATGAACTGAATACTCTGGTCGGGCAAATTTCATCTTGATGTGTCATGCTTCTTGCATTCCACAGTTCATCTACTTTTTTTCAAAGATAGGATACAAAGAAAAAATTTTTACTTTAAATTTTTACTTGCTCAAAATTTTAGCTTCACAACCTGCTTTTACTTTTCCTAATTCTTGCTCCCAAGTATATTTTATGGTTAATCTTTGATTCAGTAAGTCAACATCTTCTTTTCTTGATGCAACAGATCACCTTCAATCGTTTTATGTTTATATTCGAAAATAGTCTACAAGGTTTTAGAATTTTCTGGAAAGTTCCTGAATGTTTCAGTAAATTTCAGAATGTTTTATAATTTTCCAGAATCCTCTTTTCTAAATGTTCTGTTAGGTTCTAAAATGCTCTATAATATTCCACAATAATCTTAAACAGACTTGAATATACTGAACTTTCCTTGAATAATATGAAAAGTTTTAGAACTTTATGCAATTAAATGTAACATTCCAGAGTTTGTTAGAAACCTGTTTAGAACGCTACAGAATGTTTTGGATCTTTCTTGCTTTCTCTTTGAAACCATCCAACACTAAGAAACAGTATTTATATAATGAAAACATTATGGCTTTCGGTAATTTAAGAGCTAATAATAAAATGTGTAGTATTATAAAACTTAAAGTACCTCAAGGGGGTTGGATGGGGGCACGTTAGAGCATGATAGAAATATAGAATTTCACACGAATTGCAGTAATTGCAAGAGTAATATCTACTAGAAAAGTTTTGGTCATCAAGATTCTGAACAATTTTTTTTTATTTTAACAATCCTACTATACATTGTAAATATAATTTAATGCACATACATTAACTGATTTTATAAGGATCGATGCAATGAGTGTACATACATTGATTAATAAATAAATGTACAATTCTTGCAACTAACATTAACCATTTTGTTATCTTTTGTCATTTATTGATAAAGAAGTAGTTTCTATAGAATAAACTTTGAACAAACTTGAAATAACAAATTTGAATAAACTTGCCCTTAAATTTTACATTAATACAATATTCAAAAATGGTGCATTTTATGGATACTTATCTGTACTAGTATATTAATACATTAGTTCTCTATAGTATCATTTTTTTTTGGTGAAAAAGATCTCCTTTATGTGCAAATTCTGCCAACTTGAATTTTAACCTTTAGTTAATGCATATAATGAAGCTCGTTTTTCCTTTAACATACATAATTATTAAAATGTTACATAGATATATTTAAAGAGTATATATAATAATCAGGTCTGATGCAAATTGTCATTAAAATAAATGATAATAAGAAATGGAAAGAATAGTAGAATAAAAAAATTACTTTGGTATCTTCAACAACAACTTTATCTAAAAACCAACTTGAACTTAGTCCAGAATTATCATGTCGAATTTTGACTTTAGCTAACTTTCCAAGACTCACTGCATCAATTTTAAAAACATCTACCTGTTAAAAAAAAAATTGAATAAATTCAATAATAATAACTTTATCAAGTAAGTGACAAATTAAACTTTCAAATTTATAACCTGATTTCTTTCAAACTTGTCCATATTTGTTTCAGATTTTTTTAATTCTCTCTCACCACTGTCACCTTTGTCTCCATAAAGAGTCAAAAATACATTAGCATTTGTTCCACACCCTATCAGGTCTCCAGTGTATACATGAACAACATATGTAACAGCTACAATAAAATTTAAAATACACAAGTAACTTTAAAATCAACTTAACTCTGAATGTAACAAATACATTATAAACAAATTTAAAATAACAAAAACAATACTATTCATTAATGAACATAATTTATAAAATCATGTTTATAAAATATTTGTAATCTTTTTTGTATTACATTAAGAAACTATCTTTTGGTGATTTTACGGATAATACAAAGATGAATATTCAACTGAAAAACATTTTTAAAAAAATAACATTTTATTCTATTTTAAAATTTTTTAGACCAACCTAAATACTTTGTTACTATAATTGTATTTCTATATAAAACTCAATATATTATTAGTATAACAGTATTATTTACCAGGTAATGAGTTTTTTCTTTGAAATTTTCCAGTAGCATCAAAGGGAACAAGCTCTCTAATAATTTGGCCATCATCTTCATTTTTCGAAAACCATTTATTACATGGGAAAAAATAGTTGCAATCATCTTCGCTATCTTCTTTTTTATTCTTGTCTTCTAAATCAATTTGATTTTTGGATGTTGACATTTTCTTCCCTTTTGTTTTATTGTCACTTTGATTTTTAGTGTCAATTTTATTTTTTTTGGGTGGAGGTTGAAGACGTCTAACTATCACCTGTTGCGAATTAAAGAAATTCAAAAATTTTAAGTTATATTACTAAATGCTATCTAATTAGCATGAAAAATTTAATTTAAAAAAATCAATTTTAGAAAATAAAAACTTAGTTTTGCAACAATTAGAATAAAAAAATAATGAATACCAAGAAAATAAAAAATGTTCAGAGTTTAGGGCTCAAGATAATAAAAAATAGTTTTGAATGGTTTAAGAACTTAATTATCAATAAAAATGAAGTTTTCATTTAACATTATTATTGTAAAATATTATTGTAAATTAATCAAACACATTAAATTTTATCAAATAACAAAAATTTAATGTTTTAACAAAATAATACCACCAAATCTAATCTGATTTGGTAACTTTATGAAGAAATAACTTAAATACGCAAAAAATTTTCTCTTTTGGCTATCTTGTTCATACATGATGGAGTGGTTAATTATGATATTACATTTATGTTAAAATATTAAAACAAGCAACTTAAAAAGCATAAAACTTTGGTTTTATTTAAAATTATATTCAAAATCTTTATATTGTATAAATCAAACATTTTATTGATGCACATTTTGGTTCAACAAATTCTTAAATATGTTTCAGTTTGTCAATTTATAAATTTTGCACACTTTTTTTTGATTTTAAGGTCATACACCCATACATTAAATAATGGCTAAATTAATGAGACTTTGATTATTTGATTAATAACAGTCAAATGACAATGAAGTTAGAATTTGTTTTTACTGTGAAGCTTTCTGGATATATATTATATTTATATTTTCAATTGGATTCATATCTGTTTCCTTGGAAAAAATTGAAAGTTTGCTGTTTTTTATAAAAGGTGTCACCAACTTGACTGTATAACAGAGGATCTGTTCTGGCTAAAAAATTCTGTCACCAATTTAAATTAGGAACTCATTTTTTTTTAAATTTAGGTTGCATATGAGAAAAAATAAGCAAAAAGCAACAACCCAATAAAATTTGTGTAATAAAATAATGTTATTCAACTTGATTCCAAACTGCAGTTTAATGTTGAAGGTCTTTCTAATGGTACTTGCTTTTTTGATTATTTAGCAGTAGATATTATATTTTCTTGGTCTAGAAGATTATTCTTGCTTGGTCTGGAAGATTATACTTGCTTGGTCTGGAAGATTATACTTGCTTGGTCTGGAAGATTATACTTGCTTGGTCTGGAAGATTATTCTTGCTTGGACTGGAAGATTATACTTGCTTGGTTTAGAAGATTATACTTGCTTGGTCTGGAAGATTATACTTGCTTGGTCTGGAAGATTATTCTTGCTTGGTCTGGAAGATTATTCTTGCTTGGTCTGGAAAGGTATTCTTGCTTGGTCTGGAAGATTATACTTGCTTAGTCTGGAAGAATATTCTTGCTTGGTCTGGAAGATTATTCAGGGTTCCCACTATTAAAACTAAGGTTAAAATTAAGGATTTTAAGGAGATATAAGGAGATATTTTCCTAATATTTAAGGAGATTTGGTCGCGAACGACATTTTTTTGGAAAAAAAAGTAAGGATAATTAAGGAGAAACCGATTACATTAAAAACATAATCTTATTTTTTTCAATAAATTTTAAATATAAACAGAGAAATTATTATTACTTTATATATATATATATATATATATATATATATATATATATATATATATATATATATATATATATATATATATATATACTTTATATATATATATATATATATATATATATATATATATATATATATATATATATATATATATATATATATATATATATATATATATATATATATGTATATATATATATATATATATATATATATATATACTTTATATATATATATATATATATATATATATATATATATATATATATATATATATATATATATATTATTATATATATAATAACAAAAATAGGTTTGAAAACTATCAAAAATCTATATATTATCTTCTTTATTAACAAGTATAATCCATTCACTTTAAAAAATTTTTCTAGATGAATAAAAAAAAATAAAATAAGGAGAAATTAAGGAGAGCAGTCAAATTTTAATTTTTTTTAAGGAGGTTTTTATTTTTTATGGATATTTAAGGTTTTTAAGGAGGTGTGGGAACCCTGTTATTCTTGCTTGGTCTGGAAGGTTATTCTTGCTTGGTCTGAAAATAAAACAACCTGAATAAATCAGATGACTGCTAGAAATCTTAATATCATTTTACTTTAATGTAATTGCATAAACATGAGTTTGTGCATGGGTTATCAAGATTTCAGAGTTATATGGTAAAAGAAAGAAAAATGAGTGGCTTTCTTCCATAGAAAGAAGTTTTCAAATTATGGGAGTTCAATCCTAAATATTTAACCCTGAAAAAACTAAAGAATTTGTTTGATTTTTTTGATTTATAATGATCTTTCAAATTATAAGAGCTGAAATTACATGAGTTCAACAGTTGATTAAAAAATAAAACATTGTTATACTGTATTGTGAAAAAGTTAAGAACCAATAAATAAAAAAAAATATTTTTTTCAAACAAAATTAATTAATCATTATTCTAAAGATAATAAAATAGTCTTTTTTTTCAAACATATTAAATAGAACATCAGAAAAAAGAAGATATATTTTTTTTTTTGTAAATTAATTAATAGAACCTATAAAAATAAGGATTAAATGTGTGTTAAATTTTTTCAATTTTTTTTTTTTGTGAAAAAGTTAGAACCACAAAGAATTTTTTGTGCTAAATGCGGTGAAAACAACTTTTTTAACTGATTTTTACCTTTTTATTTAAATATTCTATTAATGAGCTGAGTCATTACCAAAAAACCAAAAGTATTAAAAAAAAAGTATTTAATTTCAAACAAAAAAAAATTCTTTTATTTTGAAAAAATGAGCAGAAAGACTATGACCTATGAAGATCGTGTAAAAGTAGAGCATTTTCACCAGAAAAGTAAAACCGCTCGTGAAATTGGAAAAATAATAAAACGCTTACATTGTTTGGTGTTAACAATCATCAAAAGATTCAGAGAGATGAAATCTTACGTTGACCACCATCGCTCTGGAAGACCAATTTTGATGACACCCAATGATGATTGCCTTATAATCAGGTTGGCTGAGAAAAATCAAACCATGCCGTCGCATGAATTAAGAAGGGAATGGAAACTTTCAAATAGACGTCAAGCATCGGCATCACTTGTGTGTAGAAAACTAATAGCTAACAATATGTTATGGAAAAAAGCTGTTCTAAAACTGCAACTTACCAAACAACATATAAAAAACATATAAAGTGTCAAAGAATGGTCTAAAGAAAAATGGAGGACAGTAATGTTCAGTAATGAAATAAATATCGAGGTTGATAACCAAAAAAACCGAATTATGAGCCTTCAGAAAAATATAATATCGATTGTATCGTTCAAAGAACAAAACAAAGTAGCGGGTTGGTTGGAATATGGTTTCTGCATGACATATTATGGTTTTGGTATGTTTAAATTATTTTATGGTTGACTCAACTCTAATTATTATGTCGATATTTTAAATAACAACTTGTTACCATCAATTGATGCACTTGATCAAAGCGTTCTGTTTATTTTTCAGCAAGACAATGCACCATGTCACAGGTCTAAAATTGTCTCTGAATGGTTCAAAAGCAAAAATATTGAGCGCCTAACTTGGCCACCAAACAGCCCAGATCTAAACTGCATTAAAAATCTTTGGAGTTGGCTTGATAGATTGCCAAGAAAGCACCAAGGAGCCTTGAGGAGTTGCACAATATTTTACCAACAATACTTGGAAATATTCCCAAACATATTTTAGAAAATTTAATAGACTCAATGCATAGACTCAAATCTTATAAATAAGTGCTTAAAAATTCATGGTAGAATTAGGCAGTATTAGGTAAAAATTACTGTTTTTTGTTCTGTGGTTCTTAACTTTTTCACAATTTTTTTAAAATAAAAATTACCTAAGAAACTTTAAATACATTTTTTTTATTTGTTTAAAAGTCTTTAGCATTATTATTATTTTTTATTTTGTTTGTCTACTTTCTAAAGTTTATTATTATTACTTTTTTTACCAGAAAAATATATTTAACTAAATAAAAATTTAAAAATAAAAATAAATTATGATTTGTTTTTTGGTGGTACTTAAATTTTTCAAAATACTATATATATGGTTGCACAATACAAGAGTGTATTAAATTAGTACAATTGTACTAATTTAAATTTTAAAACAGTTATTCTTACTTTATCTAAAAACCAAGCAGAGCCGATTCCTGAGTTATCATGACCAATTCTTATTTTTGTCAATGGGCCGACTTCATCACACTCTATCTGCAATTGAAAAAAAAAAATTAATTTTACTATTAGCTATTATCATTATTTAATAAAAATTTCTTTTAATAAACATTTTTGGGTAACATTTCAGTTAACTATTTTTTTTTAATTAAGTAAGTTTATTGCTGCAATTAAATTATAATTTTTTTTTTTTTGCAAGCATTTTATATAAATCCTTATTAAATATATATATACATATATATATATATATATATATATATATATATATATATATATATATATATATATATATATATATATATATATATATATATATATATATATATTATTTATGCATTGCTAACGTTAGTAATAAAAGCAGGTTTTTAAAAAAAAAATTAAATTGTAGTAAATAACAAGTAATGAATGTTTACCAAAACATGAATTTTTATTTAAAAAGTAATTTATATAATATATATATATATATATATATATATATATATATATATATATATATATATATACACATATATATATATATAAATACATACATATATATATATATATATATATATATATATATATATATATATAAATATATATATATATATATATATATATATATATATATATATATATAAAAGAGAATATATTTTGATTAAAATAAGTATAATTAAATATTTTATTAGAATACATATAATTATAACTCATAATCATTCTTTAAATCACTTTATATATATAACATTTTATATTATTTATGCATTCCTAACGTTAGTAATAAAAGCAGGTTTTTTTAAAAAAAAATTAAATTGTAGTAATTAACAAGTAATGAATGTTTATCAAAACATGAATGTTTATTTAAAAAGTAATTTATTATATTTTTATATAAATGTTGAAATATTTATTCAAAGAATCATGATGAAGCGGAAAATTTGAAAAGTAGGCAATAAAATTTTCTGCAAACTTTTTCACCGAAGTTTTATTCCAATTCTAATCCACTATGTTAGGAGCTTGGTGACTAATTTTTAGAATTATGTAATCTTATTTTTTTAATTAAAAAATGTTTGCTTACATTAATTTTGTTTTCTTCTTTACTTTTCAAACATAAAAAATTTAATTTTAATTTAAAATATTGTTTCTGAAGTTAAAAAATTAATAAACTACTTTAATATAGAAAAATATTACTTTGAACTTATCAATTTGTGCTCTTTCAAAGTTATCTGTTTTGTTACGTAACCAAAACTCTTCTGACTTTTTCTCTTCACCATATAGAACAATAAAGACATTAGAATTTGTTCCTGCACCTCTCACATCTCCAGTATGAACTTCTATTTCATAAGGGACTTCTATATTAAAAAAATACTTAAAGTTACACACAGTTATATACATATACATATATATATATATATATATATATATATATATATATATATATATATATATATATATATATATATATATATATATATATATGTATATATATACATTTACATAGTTACACATACATATATATATATATATAGACATATATATATATATATATATATATATATATATATATATATATATATATATATATATACACATATATATATATATACATTTACAAAGTTACACACAGCTATATACATATACATATATATATATATATATATATATATATATATATATATATATATATATATATATATATATATATATATATATATATATATACTTTTACATATATATATAAATAAGTCTTACATATACATATAATATGTATATATAAGTCGGACAAAACATTTACACAAGTTAAATTTTGGCATATACCGAGACGATGGGTTAGCAGTTTTTAAAAATGCAAGTGGCAACCTCATGGATGCAATAAAAAAACATATTCAAATTTTTAAAAATAAAAATATTTCTATCTCTATACAATGTAACATGAAAATTTTGAACTTTCTTGACGTGACACTGAACCTCAATGATCAATCTTTTAAACCGTTTCGTAAACCAAATGATGAACTAAGTTATATACATGCTGAATCCAATCACCCTTCTAGCATTTTAAGCATTTCAAAAAACAACACATCTGATTCCTATGAACATTGCAATTGTATTATTAAAAGCAAGTGTCCTCTAAATCAAAAATGCCTTGTAAATAATATAGTGTATATATTAGCCACTTTGTACCCAGGCACTCCGGATGGAAATAAAAAAGTTTATTTTGGAGTGAGTGAAACTGCATTCAAACTTAGATACGCTAACCATACAAAATGTATGGTTAGCGTATCTAAGTTTGAATGCTTGTTTATTTGAAAAATATCTCATAATATCTTACACTAATGACAACTTATTAAATAAGAGGAATGAATTAGTTTCTAAATGTAGACATAAAAGCAAATTTCTTCTTTCAAAGTTCAATTCGGGTGGTTAGGCAGCCGTTTATAGTTTTTTCTTTTTTCTTTCTGTTGTTTGTTGTTATGACAATGGAGCACACTTTATTTTAACTATATATTTTAACGGTTTTTTTAATTTCTTGATTTTGTATTACATGGCCGATGATTGCCTTTAGGCATGAAACTATTATACTTTATTATTGTTATATTTTATTTATTTTTTGTTTTAGGCGCAAATACATAATATACATTCTGGAACATTTTGAAACATTGGGGAATATTTTTGAATATTCTGGATAAACTTTTCGGTGCAAAACTGCAAATCTTACAGAGAGGAAGAAAAGTGCAAGACATTTAATCACCATTAAACCAAAATGTCTCATAAAAGTTCTGGCAACATTGTAAAGTCAAACAGAATGAAGAATCTACCCTCCTCTTCTAAATAGAAAAGGGATCCTAGGATTCCATTTGTTGAAAAGCTAACCAATCTCACATGGATGCCAAAAAACCAATCAAATTCAAAAACTTCACTTTTTTGTTCAATAGCAAGAAACTGTGACTAGATTGAATCCAAATTATGATTATGGATATAGAATTGCTCTGGAGAGAAATTTTAGACTTTCCACTGTTATCCAGTGCACTCATCAGAAGAAACTCAATAGTCTCATCAATCTTTGACAAAAACAAAAAGAAACCAATTGATAAATTCACTGCAACACTTTCTCAGTTATTCAATGTCACCAACATTAATGGAGAACAGAAAAGCACGTAGGATAAAGAGCCTGAGAAAACTCTGCTTCTTCGCCTGAGTTTTCTTCAACCTCCTCTTCTGCATCATCTTCTCCTAAATGTAAACCAAAACACCAAAGAGAAGCACTAGAACAGTGTTTTGTGCTTGCTCTTAATGCTGAGTTTGTGAATATTGTAGAGTTTACTAATACTGAATAAAAAAACGTTTCAAAGATCCCTATTGTCTCTAAATTGATGGTAAAAGATTGGAGAAGAAAAAAGCCAGGGAAAGAGTATCAAGCTTAAAAATATGACAACCAAAATCAAACTATATATATATATATATATATATATATATATATATATATATATATATATATATATATATATATATATATATATATATATATATATATATATATATATATATATATATATATATATATATATATATATATATATATATATATATACATATATATATATATATAAAGGTTGCTATGACATATTTGACTGATTCCACGAAAGGTGAACCAAATTCACATTTTTTATAATGCGCAGAAAAAGTATTTATTTTTTGTACAAAACATACTAAATTGTCATAAAATGTAGGTGCTAACATATTATGATTTTCCTGATGTTTTTTTTAACACAGAAGACCTGCAAGTGTGGGAAAATATAATATATTTTACTTAAATGAACACTAATCTTTTCGACTTGTGTTAATAAAAGTGCTAGATATGTTGAGTGAATTTTTTCTCAAGAAATATTTACCAACACACGTGTGATAGCATTTAAGTAAAATAAGACGACGGTCCGTTGTTTCATCTTTAAAAATATTAACGTGATTGCTATTAAGTCAATAAGTGTTAACACAAGTAAAGAAAACGCAAATTTTTCAATGCTGCACAACAAGCACTTTGTTTTTAATATCATGACTTAATATTATAAACAAGTTTATTTAGATGCTTCATTTATACTTGATATCATGTGGCTTTGATTTTAATTGCCTTTTAAATTTATGATAATATAATTGGGTAACCCACGTAACAATAATTACTACCATTTATCTATGAATATGGATATCTATAAATAAATATGTATAAATAATATGTAGAAATACTATGAATCTATTTATGGGATTCCATAAATTGGCGCATTTAAATGCAACTTCAAATGATTTGCAAATTTTCTCAGCATTTGAATTAAACAAGCATGTAGGTAATGTATTCATAAAGACATTCCTTAACTACATGTGCATTTATTAACTTTCTAGTTGCATTTGCAAATATTTTAACTGACGTAGGTTCACAGATTTACAATCATTTAACTTACAGTTGGAAGCGCACTTTCCAACAAAGCTCAGTTTCATATTTTGTCGGGTTAATTTGTTTTCTTTTTTAATTTTGATGGAAGCAGTGAAACTAAGGGCCTTGACTTTTGCAGAAAGAATGAAAAAGTTTAGAATGAAAAAGAAAAAGGAAGATCCACAATTTCAAGCTCGCAAAAATAAAAGAATTGCACGAAAAATTTCATGCTGCAAAATTTGCTAAAATGACAAAGAAACAGTTAACTGAACATAGGCGTAAAGTAGCTGCAAGGCAGCAAATGTAAAGCTAAGAAAAAGTAAACTATGAAATATACGGTAACGTCAACTAGAGAACTTTTGGGTGAGTCAAACACGACAACTATGTCTTTACCGCTGTCTCCCAATAAAAAATTTGCAGGACTTAACAAGGTTGCTGAAAATGTCAGCCTTATTTTTAATTTAATTGATGCAGCATTTTGTTTAAAAAACACAATATGGAAGGTCTGGAAGACGATATTGAAAAACTAGTAAAAGACTTTTACTTTTAACCAGACACTGTTTACACTATGGCAGGCATGTCAGATACAATGGCTGTTTGGAAAAATGGAAGAAAGGAAACTTTGAGAAAGTATTACTTAACCGTGAGGCATACACGTTATTTCTTGAGAATAATGAAACAATTAAAATTTGTTTTTCCAAATTTTGTGCTCTCCGTCCACCTAATGTACTGCTTTTAAAAAATACATCAGCTGATCAGTGTAAATGTGTGATGCATGAAAATTTAATATTATGTTTAAGCGGATTGGGCATTGTGTGTAAAAATAATTGGTGGGATATTTTGTGCTCTTCTAGTGCATTAGATATGTCCAAGTCCTGTTGTAAAAACGAGTGTAAATTATGTAAAAACAGCTTTAATATTAAATCTAACAAGAACGTGGAAGACATAGCAATTTGGTACGAATGGATTAATGAGTACGCCAAATGTGACAACATTGCTGAATCCAAGAAGCGACTGCGCAAGATTCAACAGCAGGGTACTGTTGGAGAACTTATTGGTATCATTCAGGAGGGTTTTGAAAAGGTTGTAAAGCATGTGCAGGTGAAAAGAATCCGAGCTAAAGAATTTTCTGAAGACAAAACAAAATGTACCTCCAGAATCCTGCAAATAGATTTTGCAATATCCATGCAAATATCAATCTGAAATCCAGTCAGCTATGTGGAGCAGATCTAGCGTTACTCTTTTTACAGCAGCTACGTTTGCAAGGGGTACACAACAAGGTTTTATTATTTGCTCCTATACTCTGAAGAAAAACGAGAAAAACTATTTTTGCATTTCTTTTTAAAGTATACGATTATAATATGAAATTGCTTGATTCAAATTATTAAGATGAAGAAATCATTTGGTCAGATAGACCATCGTCTGAATTCAAAAATAAATACATGTTGCATTTGTTGCAACTTCTGGTTTGTTGATATCACAAAAAATTTTAGTGGAAGTTTTTTGCCACTTCCCATAGAAAGGGGGTAACTGACCCAATTATTGAGTTTGATAAAATGTATATCAAATCATTTGTCAAAAAAATTGTTTAAAGTTTGAGATAACAAGAGCAAATTGAGATAACAAGAGCTGGGGACAGAAAATTTTGTTTAAAATATTGAGAGAATTAAGGGTCAATCATTAACAAAGTGCATAATTAATAAGGGATTGGGAAAGTGTTTAATCAATAAGGGACTGGGAAAAAAAGTTGAAGATGTACAAAAGTTTGAAGTATTAAGTATTTGAGGCATTAAAAGTTAATTGTAATAATGGTTACAAACCATTTAAGGTCAGGTCAGGTTTTCCTGCTACTGGTAACATGTAACCCAGTACAACCTGCTCCATGTCCTGCTGCCTTGTAGGATACGCTTTTTTAGGCAAAGGCTAGGA